TGGTGGACTGGCTGGTAAGATCACGATTTGCATGGTGTACGGCACCTTCGGTTCATGTTTTAGTCGGAAAGGCTCGGGGAGTCCTTTGTAGTTGGATGTGATGCACTCCTTCTAGATGGTGTTGTCGAAGCAATCCTGTGTCATATTCCACCGTACGTGTTGGACGGCGTCAAAAAACTGTTCCACTTTCCTTGAAATCGAGTCTAGGAAACGAACTGGGAGATCACCAACGCTCGCTGTGCGTTTGTATTTTTAGTCAGCAGTGTTTTCTATGTGTGTTGTCATGTTAAGCACCGCGCCGCTTTGGTTGCTCAAACAACAGACACAACATAGAAACACAGCTGCATGGGCCGCGGCCCCGCATGCACATAAGAAACTTTTTCAAGCGCTCTTGTTTCTTTGTTTTGCATTGCACAGCATAACACCGCAGCCTTTTGGCCTTGCCCTGCATGGCCTCCTTCTTGGCTCCTCCTGACTCGCCCCGCACTGCCCGGCTCGTCAAGGCCATCCAGGAGCTTGCACATGACACCCTTGAGTGTGCTACGCAGTTGCACCTTCGCATAGACGAGCTCAGCATCCGTGTTGAAAACCTTAGGGGTTCCATTCATGCACTGGAGCGTCGCATTGTGCAAATCGAGGGCCTCCCTGAATGCACAGATGCTTTGCCTGACGCATTGCCTGGCTTTGAGTTACACAAACTTGATTAGCTCTAGCCAGTGATCTTAGAGACCCTCCTTTGGCAATGTCGCAACGCCAGGGCAACAAGAAGCAACGCATTGCTACGCCGGAGCCGCCGCCTGCACGGTACAGCACAGCCCTGGCACCGCAGAGTGCATTGCTGGCGGTTTGCCTGAGATTTTTCTGTCGCAACGCTCCGCTGGCATTTTGCTTCGCTTCCTTGAGATGCCTGATAGAAAAGCTCTGTCATTCTTGCGTAGCACTGTGCAAAGACGCATGGCAGGGACTTGGGACCTCACGCCCGGGGACCGCCGCATACTTATAACTAATCTGCATAACACGTCGGCTTTGCAATATCTTCGCACCCGCACCGCATAGCATGGCTTCGTCGGCATCCGATCCCTTCGCACTGCTCTGGCTGGCTGATGGTTGGCACGAACGCAAAGCCCTGCAGTTTTTCTTCAGCGCATGGAGCTGCCTTATTAACCCCGCACAGCTTACGCACTGGCAAGCACAGGAGTCCCTCAGCATGGCATCGACTTTTTCTGACGGACCCGCATTGATTGCGCCCGGCATCTTTTGTCTGGGCCCGCAACGCACACGCAAGGAGGTGCGCCGCATCGAGCTGCACAGTGCCTGGCGCGCTGCCCGGGCGAAACTTCTGCAACGCATCATTGGGAACTGGCACAGCAGCGTCTTGTGGCAACAGCACTGCCGCTTCGTTTCAACGTTGACCTCGGGTCCGGCACCGCACGAGCCGGAAGTGGAGCCTGACACTGCCTTGCGCGCATCGCTCCGATGTGTTGCACAGGACCTCCGCGCTTGGTTCCGCATCGTGGCACTGCTCAGCTACAAAGACATCCGCAACGCACTGGTGGTCGATGGTATGATCTGGCATAGAACTCGCATTGCACAGCAACGGCCAAACTTCATGTTTCTGCACGGCCGCCCTGCACTGATATGGCGTAGGGGTCACACTCTACCAGTCATTATCTGCATAGGACAGCCTAGCCTAGAGTCGACCACATGCGATCGTGCTCTGATTGACTTTCTTTGACAGCACCGCACAGCTGCAAAAGAATTCCTTTTTAGCGCGCATCGCACCTTGTAACAACCGCATGTTTTGTTGCTCGGTCTTTTCTGCTTTTTGGTTGCCCCGCCTCGGGCCAGGTCTCGCGCACAACGACGGAGCACCGCCAGGCACGCGCGATGCCCCACATTACAGTAGCCACGGCTGTGGTCTTCTTTCCGGCTGAAGCACGCACTTGCTCGGTCCCGCTCTGCACAGGTACCGCCGGTACATGCACAGCACTGTCTCGGCCTCAGACTTGGTTTGCTTAAGGTTTGCACGGCTCTGCTTTCTTTCTTCAGGTGGCTCGGCATGGTTACCTACTTGCTCCCGCTCGGGGCCGCCTCCGCACGGCAAGGACAGCTTTGCCTTTCTTTCTTGTTTGCACTGCCAGTATAGGCTCTACTGTCTTGCTCGCAGCACAGCATTGTTACCACTTTTTCGTTTTCTTCTCGCAGCGCCTCTCTCGAGATCAGCACGCCTTGCTCACGTTTTTTCTGCGCCGCACTGCACAGTGCATTGCATAGCCATGTCCAGCTTGGCAACGTGTTTGCAGATTCTGATGCAAGAAGACAGCTCTGCACGGATCGGTGCGTTTCGCAACATGACCGTGCACCAGCTGTCTCAGCTTCGCATGGACCTGGACACGGCAATGCAAAGTGCCTCCGCATCGGCCCCGGCACCGCCTCGCACTGCACAGCCTTCTTAATCACAGCCAGCTCCGCAGGAGGATGATCCTTGGTTGGCCCACGGCTTCGCCCAGCACGGTGCACCGACATATGCGGCCCCGCACGGCAAGGGTGGCAGAGCACCGCAACGCTGGAGCTACAACGATTTCGATCAAGCACGGCACCGCCAAGAGCAGGAACAGTCTTGGGCCGACCTTCAAGATGAAGAAGAGCATCGCAGAGCAATGTGGGACCGCATGGAAGAAGAAAGCCACCAGCACCGCAAAGGCCGCCCAGCAACGTGGGGCGACGCTCGCCCAGCAGGGTGGGCACAGCCACCGCCGGCACCGCACAGCTTCCCGCCACCGCCTGCCCCGCACAGCTTCCCTCGCCCTGCACCGGAGAACAGGTTCTATGGAAACCCGCCTCGCAACGCACCGTTTGTCGAGGCATCCAGCAAAGTCCGCACGGAAATTCGTTGGGTGCACGGCAACGACGGGGTTTGGAGACCCGTTTTTAAGCACAGCAACACCGGGAAGCTCTGTTGTGCGGCCCGGTGTGAAAACGTGCACTGCCAGTATGGAGGCCGAGCTTGCGAAAAGCCGCTCCGCACTCCACTGGAGAGCGATATGCACGAACCGCACCGCTGCTCCAAATGCAAAGACCTCGCATAGTACAGCACTGTTTGCATAGCTCTGCCTCGCACAGGTGGCCAGACCCTGCATCGCACTGCACAGCCAAAAAGTTTGAGCCTTTGCACCGCATGTTGCATGGGCCTCTGGATCCTGGTACCGCCTTTGACCCTTGGCAGGACCTCTTTCTGCACAGCTCTTTTCCCTCGGCCCTGCCTAGGCAGTGCGGCTCCAACAGTCTTTTATGTTGCGGTTTGCATCTCTGCTCTGCCAGGTACTTCAACTTCCTCGTGGTCTCGCTCCTTGTGTTGACGGCCCTGGCTCGGCACTTGCTCGCACTGCTTGCCCTGCCAAATTCTGCATGTCTGTTGCACGGCATTGTGGAATTTTTTCTGGTGCATGGCTAGGCTCAAATCCTTCTTTGTAGCCCCAGTGTGTCTGGTTTCGTCATGTTGCCACAATGAGGCGCCGCTGGGCGGCCCAATCAGCCCTGCGCAAAGTGGCAGAGCCCAGCAATGCATCCGAGGACCGTGCTTCAGAAGTACCCACCTCGGACGTTGACCCAAGCTTTGAAGTAGTGGACCTCACAGGGCCCAACGATCTGCACAGTTACTTTCCCCTCACTAGAAGGGGGCCTGCATCGAGTGAAGCTGGCAACACCAGCATCAGGGGGCTACGCATCGTGTCTCGCATGGCACAGACTTAATAGCTCGCCACGCTTGGCACGGACATTGCAACCTCTGCCGTGAAAAAAGAGTGAGTGCGCCGTTCTCTCTCTCTCTCTCTCTCATGCGCTCACATGTAACCGTCATAGAGAACCGTAATGTTTCCTGCTGGCCGATCTGTTTTCACGGGCCGGGTTTCTGGCCCCTGAAGTTTTAGACCGTTCACATGACCAACGGCTTCATCGAATGTAAGAGCACCATCTTGTCCCCCCAGCTCGCGAACCAAACCAGGTATAGAGGAATCTACCATAGCTCAAGAATGTCTATGGAAGGCAGTCACTTGATCACAAAAGCTGTTGAGTCCTTGCTTGAATTGGCATTTACGCCTCACCGCAAGCATGCAAAGCACGCAGACACATTTATGCATCATCAAAAATGACAAAAAGGTGCACGCCCACAGTCCCCCGGACTCTTTTTTTTGCCCAAGACTGTCTTCAGGACGGGGGACAGTGGGGTTCTCCACATGGCCCCCAGACATTCATTTGGTCCCGCTCCCATCGGCCGAATTGCGAGTTGGGGTTGAACAAATTTGTGTGGCTCTTTTTCTCATGTGTGAACTTCACGGTAAAGACAGAGGGGGGGGGAGTTGGGGTTGGAGTTAAACCGAACCCTGGCCTCTCTCGTGCGGATGTCCTCTCGCTTGACGGAAGATCGCCCCAGAAACCCGATTCAAAATCGAAAGGGTGTTGAGACCACGCAAGGCTGGTTCCGGATGTCATGGTTACCAGTCCTTGAAGCTCCGACACTTCTTCGGACCGAAGCACCAAGCCCAACTCGAGCATGGGCGAATCACTGCCTGAGCCCTTGCGATCTTGAGGCCCCTTTTTAAAAACATTTAAACTCCGCAGAAGTAAACGTAAGAGTTGCATCAACGATAGAAGTGGAAGTAGTGGTAGAGGTACAGGTAGACGTAGACATAAAAGTAGAAGTAGAAGTAGAAACAGAGGTAGACGCAATGCAGGTAGAGGTAGAGGTAGAAGTAGAGGTAGAGGTAGAAGTCGAAGTCGAGGTAAGCGTAGAAGTACCATTACTGCTACTATTGTGACGACGACTACTACAGACTTTTGTAGACAAGTTAGGTTGTTTGTCAAGCTTGGCTTGATGCAGCACCAAGAGTCTGGATTGGATCATCAGAAATCACATGCGCATCCAGCACCGAAATTGTGACCATGCAGCAACCAGACTCACAAATGTTTCCCGACATCATATTTCCACTTCCATCGCGGCCATGAGAATGGCCCTCCGCCGTGAAGTATTTTGCCCTGGGTCTTGGACCAGGCCTCACAGAATCGCATCTCCTTGCGGACCAACAGGTGGCACATTTCGATGTGCCTTGACAGCCTTGACATCAATGTCACAGCACGCAGTGCTGCCATTTTGTTGGGGAGGTTTCGTTCAGCATTGTAGTCCGCAGAAGAAGCCGAACATAGAAACGTATTTGTGCAGCAGGGGCATAAAATCGAGAATGCTGAAGGTGGGCCTTGGGCAGATCCTGTTGTGAAGCCTCGAGCCCGACTTGTTTTCGGTGGATTTGGCTTCGTGTCTCCTTGTTGCGAACCTCGCTTTATCGCAAGCATAAGCATATTGCCCAAATAGGGAAGGGAGTGGATTTTGGCAAAGCTGGGAATACGTGCCAGTCAACATGCAACCGAGCAGCATTTGTTTGTTTGTTTGTCATTTCGATTGAGAAAGCTTCGTACCGAGGTGCCGGCGCAAAATTTGGAAGCCTCACCAAAGCAGTTTGTGGGCGGCAAGCAGTTTTGGCATGTCATGCTGAGTTTTGTTTCGATGTTATGGCAGTCGGAGGGTTCTCACTGACTCGACGGGTGTTGTGTAACATGAGTGTTGTCCTTGCTCAGCTCAGCAGCCTCTCTGGATGTATTGGGTACTGCTTCGATTCTTAATGCTCCGTGGAACTGGACGGAATCTTCCAGATCTTCGAGCGGGAAAGGTTGCCGGGTTGAAAGGCCCGAGCTTCCGGATCTGGATTCTGGTGGTTTTGTCCAACTTCCAAACGAGGTGAAGGACGAGGCCAACCAACGGTTCGAACGACCAGCGTGGTTGCAGCGTGTGGCGGAGCGCTGTGATTAAGTGCTGCTTTGAACACCCTTGCTGGCTGTGTCCCAGTTCTTGCCTGCGAACACATTCCGGCATGAAGTGTTCGATCCTGCCGCCGATGGCTTTGCAGGAGCCCTTTGATGCCATAGATCTCTCTGCACGGAGCCGGCTGCAGGTGCTTCTTCGAGGGGTCGGATGGCAGCTGTGTCCTTCCTGTGCCTTGGAGGAGATGTCCAAGCGCCGCGATCGTCTGACACGGCAGCTGCATGCACTCCAGGCAGCCCAGGCCAGCTTCCGCCACCTTCCGCCTTCCGTGCATCTCATAGGGTCAAGATGCTGTGTCAGACGTGTGTATTTGAGCAACCTAGTTACACGTTGCAATGAGAGAATGTCTTTTGCATACAGCTGGTCGCGCACGTTGCCGTTACATTTACTGAGACGGTTTCTCAGCCCCAGCAGGCTGCAGATCCCGAGACGCTTGGCGGTAGAAACAAGCACACATTTGAGTTTTGCTACTCCTTAAAAAGTGTGCCATGCCCTACCTGTCTACAGATGACGGAATTCGAGTTCAGCACGACTCTGTAGGACCGTACACAGGTCCAACATCTCGGTGGAGTTGGAAGAGATGCAAGCGCATCTGGCCATGCAGAGCATCGGAGAGGGTTCCTGCTTGCAGAATGTTCAAGCCTGCCAAGTTGAACGGTCTGAGATTAAGTATGCGTGTACCGGCTTTGCGTCCGCAGCAGCCCAGGCGTCTGGAAGTGGCAGAACAGCGGCTGCGAGATCATCGGGAGTTGAGCCCTGGATTCCTTGGAAATTCGCACCAACCTTTCTTTGTTAGAGCAGGTACAGGCTTTGTGTGTGCCTGCCTGCGTTGCATGTGATCTTGCTCTTTGCCAAAGGATAAAGCAGAGATCTGCCGCTCGCTGGGAGCGCCAAGAGAGCGGCAGCGAAAAAGAGCCCTTCCACCGCCGAGTCGGCTGTCGGTCTTGAGCGGTTTTGATCAGTCGACGCCTCTGCCGATGCTCGAGCCGAGCCTGGTTGCGACCCATGGTGCCTTCGCGTTCTTGTGCCGTCGGAAAGGATGGCTTTCGGTTGCGTGGGCTCACTGGCCAGCTTTCTGCTCTCGGACGGCAAAAGCGTTGGGAGGAGGCACTGAGTCTGCTTTTGTTGGAGCAGGAGGCGTCCATCCGGGCGGATGTCGTCGCCTTCACTGCCCTAGTACGGGCCTGTGGCAGGGCCCCGGCTAAGGCATGGCCAGCCGCCATCGCCACGCTCTGTAACATGGAGGACGAAATTGATGCACAGCCCGGCCCAAGTTGCATGTTGAGTTATATCTAGAATTTCTGCAGTAGCCTTTGACAGTCTAAGTCCCTAAGTGTATGTAACTTCGCGCAGGACCGGGCTGTGGCACCGGACGTGATGAGCCTAGGAGCCGGAATCGATGCCTGCGCCAAAGCCAGTCGTTGGCTGCCGTCCTGCATCCTGTTGCAAAGATTGCGGACTTGGGCCTGCGAAGCAAACGTCATCGTTTTCAACAGTGCGATCACTGCATGTCAGCGGAGCTCTGAGTGGGCTGCTGCCTTTCGACACCTTGGGCTCATGGGCTGCAGTGCCATGCAGCCGGACGTCATCACGCAGAATTCCCTGATCACGTCCTGTGGCAGCGGCACCCGCCTAGGAGAATCTCTTTGGGACGATGCCTTGGAGCTCTTCCAGAGCTTCCACGGTTTACAGCGGAGCCTTGTGACGCTGAACGCTGTTGGCGCCGTTTTCCGTCGTGAGCGTTGGGAGATGGTTTTCGACACCTTCATGATCCTGGGTCAGCGAGGCATGCAGCCGGACACCGTGTCGTCGGGGACGCTGGTGACTGCCTGCGTCAGTGGCACACACTGGCAGCGCGTCTTGCAGCAGCGGATGCTACATGGTACCGGCCTTGTCACTCTGAATGCAGCGATCTCATGCGAAGGCTGGCGTGAGTCATTATTTTTGGCCCAGCAGGCAGCCACCGGGGAGTTCGGCTGCCATGTGGACACGATCACCTTCAACACAGCTGCGAGTGTCTGCGAGAAGGCACACCGTTGGGAGGAGGCTATGCTCTTGCTTGAAGCTCCGCACGATTTCAGGTTGAGCCCAGATGCCTGTACTTACAATGCAGCGCTGAGTGCGTGCGAGAAGTGCAGCCAATGGGAGAAGGCTCTGCAAATTCTGTTTCGCATGACGGACAAGAGGGTCAGCCCAGATACAATTTCTTACAATGCTGCAATAGCGGCGTGTGAGTCATCATGGGAGAGTGCTTTGGCACTCATGCAGGCCATGCAGGCTGGGCGCATGGCCCCGGACCAGATCAGCTATCACAGTGCTATCGGAGTATGCACAGCCAGCCAGCAGTGGGAAACAGCCTTGTGTTTGTGCCGGAGCATGCACCGAGAGAGCATCCGCATAGATTCAATCTCTGTTAGCTTGGAGATGAGTGCCCAGGAGAAGGGGCGGAGATGGCAACATGCACTCAGTGCATGTCGCAGTATGGATCTGATGGGATTGCAAAACAACCACTTCACCTACGGTGCCACGTTGAGCGCTTGCAAAGGTCAGTGGCATGTGGCCTTGACCCTGCTGGAGGACCTAATTTCACTCCCAGGGATTCCGCACCTAAATGAGTCAGTCGGCTTCGGTTCCAAACGGGTATAATCGGTATATGGCGGTAAATCTGCATGAGAATGCATTGGTGTAACTGCTTGGCAGTAGCTCGGTGGAAAGTGAATAAACACACCATTATGCTTGTTAGACCCAGCATCCAGAGCAGGGAGTGGATGGAGCCCTGTTCAGCTTGAGCTCCTTGCCAGTAGTACGTAGTGATAGGGAAAGGTGAGGGAACATCGGCATTCTGCCAAATGTGTTTGGGGCGATTTGTGAAGTTCTGGACGAAGATGCCGTCTTTGTTCTCGCTTGCCGCTTGCAGTTCAACCAGGTCACTTCAACCAGGTCAGGAAGGAAGGAACATGGCGACAAAGATCAATCGAGTCTGGTCTCGTATTCGGTTCAAAAAGACCCCCTGATTTGGAAATGACCACAGATACGTTGAACCAGCTTACACTCACAGACATTTCGCGGGCTGAGAAGATGGACCACGGAGAGGACGGAAATGATGATCCCAGACAGAGTGCCGAATCCTAACAGCCTTGCAGTGTAAGTTAGTGGAGGGTAGGGCTGTATAGCTCAGCTTACTTTCCTGCGTACGTTCGATCGTCGGAATGGGCATAGGCTTAGGGTGCCGGAAGCATTCTTCTGATCAGATTCCCTGGAGGAGTCCTGGTGGAGGCCGGAAATCCTCACGGCCACTCTGCTTGGTGCGGCTTTAGGCTCTGTGCCGGGCTCCGACAGCTTCTCGGAACCGGGTTCGCTGCACTTCGTGGCCTGGGTCCTGGGCCTCTTTGGCCGGAGCCGCGTGGCCCCTGGCGCGGCGGTGTACGCTGCCGCCCTGGAGAGCCAGGAAAGGGCAGGCGCTTACTACAGCGCTGCTCTCACTCTCAGCGCCGTTTCGGGGCCGAGCCTTGCTGAGGAGCTCGAGAGCTCCTCACTCACCACACTGCGCGGGAATTTCTGGGGGGGAAACCTGTCAAAAAGGCGTTTTGCAAGGCTTGGATGAGACAGACTTCCAGCGCAGAGCATCTTGCCAACCGAGAAGACGTGACATGACGCTATCCCTGGCACAATTGCAGCATTAGGTGCTGCTGTCGCATGTTGTTGCCTGCCAGAGCAGCTGCAAGCCCTTCCTAAATCTTTGGTTAGTTTCGCAGACATCTATCATGGTGACAACCCAAATTCAGTCCGGCTTCACATCATGAGAAGCCTGGCAACATCAAGTGGCAGCGCAGCACTTGGCTGGGGCCCAGTGCAGTCTGAAAAGAATCTGGGCCGCACACATCTCTGTTTCGCTAGCTTCTTCTCGTCCTGTCAGATTTCATTCTCATCCCCGTGGGCGAACAGTGGCAGATTCAGTCGAGTCAGCGGGATTCCAGCAGAATCCTGACTCTTAGCACAGGCGACTTACTCTAATTTGCAATGTTGGGAGCAGATCGCGCCTGTCGACCCGCCTGTGCCGAGTTTTCAGCCAAACTTCAACATTCTCAATCTCAGGCCCACGATGGCGCGAGACCGTTCCGAACGCTGCACTGGTTTTAATTCTTGCAGGCAGGGGGCTTTCCTGCCGCAGAGAAGATTTTCGGAGCCACGCGATCCCGAGCTTCCCTGAATCTGTTGTGGTTTGTAGAGGCTTGGCTGCCGCATGGTTCTCCTGAGCCTCCTTCTGTCTCTGCCTCAGTACCGAGCGGAAGACTTTCTTGGTGCAGAACCCCAAAGTCGCAAGACTCATCGGGGAACGGGGCTGCCAGCTGTGGTTGCGATGTTGTAAGCTCCATAAAGATCTCTCTCCCCTCTCCTTGCGTTTTTGCTGCCTGCTGCTCTTGTGAAGGCTGGCCTCGGTTTGGTCCGATGCCGGCCTTGGGCCGCCTGGCGTGTTCAATTCCGGGTCTGTCCCTGCAGATATGTGGATGCGTGACAGACAGTGTTTCCTGTCCGCCCATAGCAGAAATAGACTTGTCAGTTCTCATCGCATCGTGCTTTGTTCGCAGCTGCAGCAATTTCTCAACCAAACGGATTGCGTACAATTCTACAGGCTGTAGCTGCAATCATGCTGCGGGCCTGTGTCGCATTCGGAGTTGCCCTCCTGGCTGCCATTGCCTACCAGGGAAGGCGCCTTGGCATGCGCCTTGGCTACCTGAAGGTTGCCTCGCTGGAGTTCGGGCCTGGGCACGGCAGCTTCGGGCAGCCGCCGGAGCCGCCCGACCGGTGTTGGAAGTCCGCTTTGGAAGCACCCGTCGAGGACTTGACCGTTCTGGACCAGAACCGTGGCCTCCTCCTCGGGGCCACCGGCCACGTCTGGGAGTGTGCCCTGCTGGGTGCCAAGAACAGCCGAGAAAACAGGAGCCACAGCAACCACGTGGTCTTAGTGGACTCAAAGAAGCAAGAAGTCAAGGCCCTGCAAGTTTTTAAGCACCTGCCAGGTCAGGGGCACGTTGCATACACCAGCGATCCGGCGGACCACGTGTATCATGGAATTTTCTATAGCAGCAGCTCCCGGCGGCTCTACGCCGTCTGCCACCGCGTGGCTTTCACGTCGGTCGAAGTCTTCTTGGTTCACGAAGGGATGCCCATGGGCTCGGAAGCCTCGGAAGGCTTTCATGACTCTTTCTTTTTGGAACACCTAGAAACCGTAAGGTCTGCAGAGTTCCAGCGCGTGGCCTTGAACGACGTCGTGGAGGCTGCCCAGGACGGCAGCAGCTTCTTCGTGACAGAGTGGCTGGACCATGACCATGTTACCGGCTTTAGACATTATTCAGCAGGGCAGATGATGAGGCACCGGCTGACGCTCACGTTGAAAGCACGGCACACAAGACTGCTGAAGTGTCTCCGAACTGAGATCGTGGGAATGCCTTGGTCCTGTGCGGCCGCGACTGCAGATCGATTCGTGATGGCGAATGGTCTTGCGATCACGCCGGATCGTCGTTTCCTGTTCTTATCAGATCCGGCTGCAGGCGAGGTTGTGATCTACCGGGTCGAGAGCGGGTCTGAAAGCTTGACAAAGGTTTTAAGTTTCAATCCAAAGCATGCCCTGGACAACCTGGAGGTCGTGGAAAGCGGCGTCGAACTGGATGAGGTGGTCCTCCACGGGGGTTCGATACCTACTCCTTTTACCAGTGGGACAGGTTGTGAGGGTGGCTTTGGCATGACCTGGCCGATCCAAGACCTCAAGGGGCGCTCAGGCTTCATCGGTTGTCACCGGTCCCCGGGAGGGTTGCTGGAGATTCGCGTCAGAGGCCTCAAGAGACAAGACGTGGAGGTCCAGATGCAGGATCGACTGCTGCATGACGGCTCACTGCTGAGTGATGTGAGCAGTGCCTTTTGCCTCGATGGACGCGTCGTCGTTGGGAGCCCTGCGACGAGCGGGCTGCTCTTCTGCGACCTCTAGTCGAAGTTGAAGCTCGGCTCTGATGAGAAAAAGCACGAGAGATGCAACTCACCCCCCTGGTTCGACGACCCAACTTTGGGATTACAGTAGGACTGCCCGGGTTTCCCTGAGACTTAAACAACTTTTCTTGTCAGGTTTGCTCTGCGGGGCCGCCCAAAAGGCCACCACCGCTTCCGCAAAGGCCAGATTCAGTGCAAACTCTTGAGAGGGCTTGGCTTGGCACAACCGCGACCTGCTGCAAAGCCCTTTCAATTCCGGTTCTCAAAGATGCACGGTGAAGTCGCTGCTAATCATCGTTGCCAGACCGATCCAGAACAAATTCAACGTATCGAACAAACCTAGCAGATGGCAACCGGAACTTTGCTATCAAAGTTCCTGCGAGACAGGCCATCAGCGCTTTCGTGATCCCTGGGTGGGGTCCTCAGTGCTGTACACTTCCATTGAGGGAATGGAGCTGAAATCGACAGGATCGGAACGAAGCATCAAGAGCTTTTGTTTGTCTGCGTGTTGCTGGCATTTTGCTGCGTGGCCAGTTGCCGCAGCTGACACGGTGGTTTTCCCTCAACTCAGATGCCTCGCAAGGCTCATCATCAGAGGCGACCGCGGGATGCTCTTCGTCAGGCACATTCGGGAACGGCATGTCAATGTCATGTCTGGACTGCCACCAGGTGAAGAAATTCATCGTCGCACGTGCACGACATGTCAGAGAGTAGGAAGTTGCAGAATCACATAGTGTGCCTAGCAGTATATAGTCCTGTTCAGTCTGGCGAACGGCACCACTTCTGAGCCTCAGCTCGAGGGCCTTTGCGGTGCCATTGCTGCCGATAAATCCGAAAGACAGTGCCCCCTGCTCCCGCGCAGCCTCAGCTGAACCTGGCCTGGGCTCGGGCCCGGTCCCGGCAGCTCGGCAAGTGTTGGCCAAGCCAAGCGTTCTCTGTTGGGGCACTTCTTCTTTTTGTTTTCAGCGCCGACTCATGTCCCGGATACTTGAGGAAAGCCATGTTGCAGCTTCTTGCAAGCAAGACCAAGTCTTCGTGACATGTGGACTTCAAAACAGGGTCGGTTGTTATGGCTTCCGACGGGATTCATGATTGGGCCGTTGCGACAGAGTTTGGCAGCCAGGTGCAGGAATAAGTGGGAGTGATCCGGCAGTTGTAGCAACTTGCCATGACGCGCTCTCCGTGCAATTTGGCGGGCTTCATCTGGTGCCGGGCCTCAGAACGTTGTCACAAAGCCACCGTAAATTGAATCTTCCACCCCCTCCAGGCCCAAAGCCTAAGACCCTTACCTTCTGTCTTGCGTAACGCGCAAGTCAACGAGTTCCAGGACTTCTCCGATGTCCCTGCAAAGTACCGATGCCTCGTTCAAGTCTTCTCTGATTGGGCTTGACGAGACCCCGAAGAGACGAAAGACTTTAGAGATCACTCAGAGTTCTAGACTGTCTTCAGGTTTTAGGGTCTATGAGTCTATGGCCGACTACCGACTCTCGTCTAAAAGGGACCTTCCCTCCCGAAGCTTAAACGCATCGAGAACCCCCGGCCTGTCCAGCATCCAGGTAATGTTTAAGAACTGGAAAATAAACTAGAACGGGGATTTCAGTCTTGGGGTATATTGCAACATGATTGTGCGTGGACTCAAAGAGAACACCATCATCATTGATTTTATTTCTCGGCTTCGCCGGTGGTTCATTTCGGGGGGCTGCTCTGCTGAGTCACGTGTTTCACTGGCAGGATTTCGAACTGTTTGTTAGCGTACAGTAGTACAATTTCGAACATTGCATGCTGTCCGACGATGAGAGAGGTCTGGGGGTTATCGGGCTTAGGGTTTTAGGGTTTAGGGGCTTCTACGGCGGCACGAACACATGACAAACACACGACAGAACGAGTGGCACGCTGGAAAACCCGGTTTAAGGTTTGGCATCTTATAGGTTCATTGAAGTGGTGACTGTCAGCGCCTCACTTTCTCAATGTCACAACCCGCCATGCCCTAGCCAGTGCCACAGCCACCCGAAGCTTATCGAATCTCAGATCATGGACAGCCAACCCAAACCCTAAATCCGTACTCAAGCCAATTCACCAGCCTCCGCGGAAATTATTGGAAAAGCATAGAAAATTTGCAAAATTCCTATACCAAAGTTCCTGCAAGCTAGCACGCCTCCTTGACGGGGGAGCCCGCGATTTGCCGGTTGATAATCTATTTGTAGACACAACATATGCGTGCTTCTTCGCTGATTGAATTATTTGTCAAGTTGTTTGCATGATTTGCATGTAGGGATGTATCTGCCAGCATACCTTGTAGGCAAGTCCTGCCCAAGTCCCTGAAAATACCGGTCGGAATCATATTGAAGATCTTTGGAGGTGCCTGGTGGTTGCAGAGGGGGCCGTCGTCGACCTCGCAGAGTGGTCTTCTGCCGGCTGGTTCGTTCAGAACGATCGAGTGCTCCCTGGCAGCAGCTGCGGAGCATTCATCTGCCCGGCACGGCTTGTGGTTATCGAGCTTGCTTTCTTCGGGAAGCTTGAAGAGGGACTCGGAGGGGCTCAAGATTTTGCTCCAATACTTGGTTCACCTGCTGCCCCCCCCTCCCCTTCGCATTGTCACCAGCTTACCTGCGGTCGGCGAGCTTCGCTGCCAAGGATGGGGGGCCGGTCTAGCGGCAATCTCCAGGTCTCTGACTCTGGTGCTCGCTTCGAGGCCTCCCTCTGTCGTCGGTCGTCGAGACTCGACTGAGTGTTGTGCCTCCATGCAGCACATTTGATGCAGGGGAGCATCAACATCGACGGGGGCGGCTTTGCATCTTTCCGGCGAGACTTCGGCTGGTTCGGCGAAAGAAACTTGCGAGACTATGCAGGGCTCTGGGTGGAGGCAGTGGGATGCAGCGTTCAAGCTTGTGATACAGAGGGCTGTGCATAACTCATGGATTCTGCCACGTGCTGGATGCAATGGGGTATCCCGGAGAAGTCCCTTTGGGTTTCGGCACTGTGGCTCTTCAAACCATATAAATCGTCGTCGCGCCAGGATCAGTGTAAGGCAAGTTCTCAAGATCTGGTTCACTGTCGTTCCTGTTGCAGCCGTCTTGTATGCTTGCGTCAGCCAGCCTGCAAGAATCCTTGCTCCTTGTTTGCTGTCAGTCAAGTCGGGGAGGTGTCGGTCGCAGATTGGGCACGCTACAATCGAACTGGCTGTGGAAATACAAAATAGCATATATTTTTGGATCCATTCACAGAACTACGGTTTCTTGTCGCATGGAATATTCACAGATTTATTGGTCCACCCAAACTTTAAGTTTGGCCATCACTCACATTCTGTGCCATGGATAGCTCCCATGAGAGCAGCACGGGTCTGAGAGCTGTGCTTGGCACAGGTGGATGCGCTGGCGGAGAGCACCCTGGCACCTGTGGCCCTCCACGTGGAGCTGGACGATGCCTCCGAGCGTTCCGGCAACTCGGCCCCATTGCAGCTTTCGGAGCGTTGTAGCAGCGTGTAGCAGCTGCGAGCATCCAGCAGTTCCTGTCCGAGGATTTGGTGCGGCCATGGCCATTCCGCCAGGAGCCATTTTGGGTGACAGTACCGCTGGTACGATGCAGCACTGCGGCCAGCCGACATGTGTCGCTTAAAGATAAAATGGATCAGGCTTTTCCAGTCCGGGCACTCCTGACGGCCCTGACCTGCTTTTTGATTTCGTTGCCCTTTCCGACAACGCAGGACCTGAAGGATCCACGTACTCCGTCTTCCTCCCCTTCTCCTGGTTCCGCAAGCAGCTGCTGCGCTCCTGCCGAAACTGCATCCTGAATCCGGGACGAGTCACTGGTGTGGGCATCGTGGTTTTATACCAAGAAGGCTTTTTCAGCTTCCGTGTGCGGAAGATCTATGCCGTCAGCTCGGAGTCGGAAGTTCCTTCTTCGGCGGGGCGAATGCCCACTCTGACGACGTCGGACTCCGACGTTTGGAAGATGATCCGGGCGAGCATTCTGCGAGGTTCCTATGCTTGGAACCAGGGCTACCCCGAGCAGTGTGGGGCCCTCTACAATTCCACCGCCTTCGTGATCAGCTCCGCCCGTAACATATCAGGGACAGTGCAGAACGTTGCTCGTGCTGCCACGTCCTATGCGGAGCAATTTCCACTGAATCTGGGAAACAACGCGGCTTGGATCTACCGACGGAGCTTCGACACTATTTCAGCTGCCTACGAAGGTTCCGCACCCCCGCCAGAGTCGCGCTACCCGCAAGTGGCCCATGGGGATTGGGTGAGGACCGCGATGTCGGGAGGTTCAGTACAGCCGTTGCCAGTGAGCGAACTGGCGAACGAGCTGCAGCAGCAGATGGTTAGTGGAGCTGCTGGGCAGTTTGCTTTGAGAATTCTTGGACTGCTGTTTGTAGGATGCATGCACTTCCTGGTTGGTCTGGCCAAATGAAGTGGACTTAACTGCTTACTCTTACTCGAGGATTCAACTTGTACAGTTGTAGTTAGCTTGGTGTAGCGGTGCCCATTCTGCAATTGCAGACGCACGTTGATGCTACGATGTGTTTGTTACGTGCGAACTCGCACATTTTCGGTCGCCCATTCCCGTGGCGAATTGCCCGGACGGGTCATGTCCCAGAGTTGGCACATGACTGTGTTGCTGGCATTCTACACGCTGTATAGTTTCCATGGCCTAGCGACCCCGACGTGGCAGAGCCGAGACTTCCTTGAGCCCGCGAGTCTGAAAGCATGACATGAAGTTGCGCAGTGATCGTCGGATGCGGAATGCAAGGAACAAGAGGCCGCCTACCAAGCACAACAGGGACACGCTGGAGCAGCTCTGCTTGCAGACTGTTGGGTTTAATGAGAGGGAGGCAGCTGAGGCAGGTCTTTCTAGGAGTGACGGACTGACATCCCAGGACTCTTCGCGAAGTGCTTCGCGATCCGCTCCTCACTTCGGCTTCGCGGCGTATTAACGCAAACATCGTTGTAGGATTTCAGATGTTCAGGTCTTCGTGTCTCAGCTTCGTTTCGCGTCGTGAAACTTCGAGGAGATGGAGGAGGCTGCCTGCCTGCGGCCCCAGCAGGCAGGGCATGGCCATAGGGGCCATAGGGCATGGCAGGGCAGGCAAGGACAGTTCTGACTTTCTGTCCGCTGGCAGGTGCCAGACTTCCTTGCCAAGGCCGGGTCCAAGAACTGCCCTTTGAAACTTTTCACGGCCGGCACCTTGACTTTGAGGCCGTGGCCGAGGCCGCTGCGGCCGTGCTGGGCGCTGGCGTTAGTTCCGCGCAAGGCGCCGTTGCCCCGCTGCTTGGGCTTATGGCTTTTCGAGGGGTTCACATGTGGGTTAAAGGGGAAGCACAGTACATCGTGTCAGTGTGCCTGAATTTGCAGCCTGTGGCTTGCGAGATCTCGCCGACTCGGAGTCTCCGAGGAATGGCAAGCCGCAACTGCTTGTCTGCGTGAAGAACGCGCTCGACGGGTATGACCGGAGTGCCCCTTGAGAAGAAACGACTTGTCATGATGTTTCTGTAAGTCTCCATGGGCGCACATGACATGTGGTTCACTGCAGGGCACTTGGTGTAGAAGGATGAGCAGCCCGACCTAATGAGCCACACCGGCGCCAAGCGAGAACGCCCTCGTGAGCATTCTTGACATCTCAGGCCATGGCTGTGGCGCTGAGCGACGCTTGCCTGTGATGTGGTGGTTGGTCACAGCAAACGGTTCCGTGACCTTGTGCTCAGGAGTGCAACGTATCATATTGGCTGGCTTGGTAGTAACTGGTAGTAGTTTGGTTTTGGCAGGAAGTTTGCACGAGCCGACCGTTCAGCTGGAGTGTGCCGAGGCCTTGCTGGACGTGGACGTCCGTGTGCATCGTCACGGCGTGGCGGTGAACGTGGAAGACAGGTGAGATTCGGTGGGGTCCACGGATGCGAAAGCGGATGCAATGTGAGACCTGTCCCCAGGGAGATGGGCCCCGAGCCAGGATGGACGTGGAAATTCTTCTGGAGACGGCCGAGGAGCAGTGCAAGCGAAGAAGCCGAGGCTGGGGCACTGGTGTCCGACCGGCTTCCGCGAAGGGGCCTGGATGAATATGGGGCTGTAGGCCAGGCCTTGGAGGTGTTTAGGTTTAGTTTAGGCCCATATATGAAACATGCAGACTCAGACTACAAGAAGCTTCAGAAAGAATTTAGGAGAATCACCGCAAGATAAGGACAAAGCAAATCCAAGCCATGGAAGGCTTGAGATTGGCCTCTAAGACAAAGACTCTCAGGTTTGCTCGGGACTTAAAAGGTCATGGACATGGTTATCAGTTGAAATAGGGGTGAAAACAATGTGATTGTATCATACAAAACTACTCGTGACCCCAGTTCAGATACGAAAAGGTTGCCAAGCCCTGTCAAGGATCCAAAAGATAGAGGTTTCTGTGGCATCGTGGCTGTTGAGGCCCTCGCAGCCTCTTCGCTATCTCCTATCTTACGGTGGCGGAAGATTGGGACGAAGCCGTGCCTTGTCTGAGAAGATGCAGAGCACAGCAGAGCAGAGCAGCCTTTGGCAGATTCTGCCAAGGACCGACGCGGCGAGGTTGGGTTGTGGGGTTGGCGGCAGTGTCAGCGCTTGAGGCTTCGTGCAGTGGGCAGGAGCTGGTCCGCGCGAACCCGCAGATGTCCTGGGCCATCGCTCTGTCCCGGCGCTTCTGCTCCATCGGGCGGCTGCCAGGCCCACTGGGCCGGAGGGGCGTCGAAGTCGGGGGACTTTCATTTTGTGGCCCCTGCAGGGCTCCGGATGAACGGCCACCGTGCCGGCAAGGGACCCCAGGCCGGATCGGCTTCGATGGCCACAGAACGCGTTTAAGCAGTGAACAGGTAATGGAGATGGTCTTGCGAAATCTGGCGCTGCGGATCAAGGCGGCAGGGACAATGTGAAGGGATCATCAGTACTTCGTTACACAGTTTTACAGCTGAACCGACGCGGTCCCTTGAACTCAGCGGCATCTCAAGAGATACTCTGACTGACACCCCGAACCCGATGCGGACTGCAAGGCAGTGAACGAAGTCCTTGCTTCATCAATCCGCTGCTGTTGTGACCGCGCGCCCAGAGCATCCAGCATCCAGTCTCGACGAGACACCGCATAGCCGTAAGGTCAAAAACCGTCAGCATCACAAGGCCGAAACACCGCAGCAAAGCGGTCCAGTTGAGACCCCCCAAGCTTCCAGCAGAGATCAGATCAGCGATGATCTTCGCGGCGTGAGGATCGAGATGAAGAGACACTGAAGCGCTTCGAGCAGGCCTCGGCAGTGTCGAACACCCAGGACCGGCGGACCGGGCTGCAGGCGTCCTTCTTCCTTTACCTAGGCCTCGGGTCCTCTTCCCTTTTGTGGACCGCTCTGCTTTTGAGGACCACGCGGTCGGCACGCGCCTGGTGGTCAGCATGGCCAAGGCAGGTCTCAATCTTCCTAGGCCGGGGGTCTTCATTTCTTTTAAAGTGTGCTCTTCCCAGGAGGTGCTCGAGTGGAGCAAGTCCGGCCCTCTGGGCTTGTGGCTGAAGGACTCAGCCTTCTGGAGTGCCGTAGCGGCAGCAGGATCAGTAGCGGCAGTGGCTTCCGAAGGATGCAGAGCTCTATGCCGGTGAGAAGGGTCGGAATCAAGCATCAGCGCTGCTTCGCATCCCTGCTCAATTGGTTGCATGCAGCTTTTTTATTGGTCCAGAGACCCTCTATGTGTGTAGCTGCTAAAAGCGAATAGAAAGGCTGCTGTCATGCAAAGTGCAACTCCCAAGTTCAACACACTTGAGCCTGTCATGTGAGTTTCGTGTTTGGGCTTTTGCATCCCATCTGTCGGGTTAAGGTGCAGCTGCTGACAGCCTGGACGGCGAGGCGACTGCGTTTGGGTGCTCTGCTCCGCTCTGCTCTCCCTTGAAATCGCTCTGCGCACACTGCGAAGGTGCGAGGCCTCGGCCACACGCAGAGCTTCCGGCTTCCGAGTGCTGAGGATGCCACAGGGACTCAACAGAGTCAGAGCACACTGAGCACACTTAGACTTTCCTTTTTTTTGCGACAGCACACTGGCAAGCCTTCGCGCACCGAAACCTGGGATTAAACCTGGGATTAAGCTGATGTTCCATTCAGGATCAAGCGACGTTGTATGCGAATCATCGTTTTGCTGGACTGGGCTGGAGGAGGTTGGGGCGTCTTTGCTGGCGATCCGTCAGCCAAGGACAGCCTCCAAGCTGCAGTCGACCGCAGCATCACGAAAGGTCCGGCGTGTCGGTTTTTTGTAGCACGGGGGTCTTGTGCCTCTGACCCGAAGCTTGGAGGTGTGCGCCTGGTGCATTTCGGCTGCTTCGAGCAGGCGCAGGAGCAATTGGACGAGGCCCGATCGCAGCAGAGAAAAGATGCGAGAGGAACATGAAGCCAAGGGGCGGAAACCTTAAAAGCTCACGACCCTGAAGAGACCGTGAAAACCTTTCTCAGTCTCTCCGCAGTGTGAAGGCTCGGCTTAGCCTGGAGCAGCGGCACTTCGCGGCCGAGGAGGAGCTGCCACTCCGTACCGTGTTGCCAACACCTTCCCCAGAGGTCAAAGGCTTTGCGCTCGGTTGCAAAAGAGGTGCGCGAGAGTTTGACGCTCGCAGCTTGCCTGGCCTCCTCGTTGCTGCAGCAGAAGCGACTCTGTCTCCAATGGACAATGTCGGTATAGCTAAATCTACATCTATATCTGTATCTCTATCTTCATCTGTATCTATACCTAGATCTATATCTTTATCATCTCTATATAAATCTGTATCTATATCTGCATCTACATCTATGTCGATATTATATATGTATCTGCATCTGTATCTTCATCTGCATCTGCATCTATATCGGTATCTGTATCCGTATCTTCATCTGTATCTTCTATCTTCTATCTTCTATCTCTGTCTCTATCTCTATCTCAATACATACATACCTTTGCGTGTGTGCGCGTGTTTGCGTGTCTGTGTGTCCGAGGAAGGGCCGGCACGATCTCGTGAAGGAGCTGAAAGCAGAGTGCATGCAGGCCGGGCAATGCGTGGCCTCGTGAGCCTCGCCTTGGAGCATTCCTGAGATCCGCCAGTGCTTGCATGACAGTCGCTCCACCGTCTGGAAGCCACCACTTCGAAGCGACCCAAGCCCGTGGCCTGCGCGTTGCTTAGGGTGTGAGTGGTGAAGTCAGCTGTCGGCAGTGGCAGAGGAGGCTGAGCCGAGCCTTTGCCGAGGCTGGCACAACTTGCCATTGCTTCTTCGGGTGTTGCCATCGTCCAAGAGGCAGGAAGTTCTGCAAACCACAGGGACCGATCAGCCGCAGACAGGCCAAGAGAACGCTTCTTGACTGAAACTCCTGGCCTGAGGCGCCCGAGTCCCATGGCACAGGGCGGCCCGAGAGCCCAGCGCCGTTGCCTTCTCTAGCGCCGTCTGACCGTACTGCTGACTGCGGCTTCTCTTCGGTAGCTGCAGCTCTTGCGCTTTTCTTCCAGCTGGCAGAGTTGCGGAAGTGTCCCGTGTCGAGGCCGGGGAGACTTGGACTGGTCGGGCATGGACTGCACAGGCCCTGCCTTGTGGCATCGCAGCACAGGGTCGCAGGCATGCGCCGTGCAGGTGCCTTGGACTCCGACGTCCTTGAGGACCTGTCGGGGCCGGATCCAGGCAAAAAGCGGAGCCGCGGAGCCCAGTGGAGCCGAAGCTTCCTCGCTTTTTTCGGGAAGGCCTCGAGCGCCGGCTCTGTGCTCGCAGCCGCCACCTCATGAGCTCGGCACCCGGCCTCTCCGCGGCCGGACATCCATGTGTCCGCTGCGTGTCCTAAGGTTACCTCATGCCTCTCACAGGCCGCTAAGGGGGGGCTTGACAGAGGTGTTGAGAAAGACTGCGTTTAGGCCGCGGATCCATGCACTGGCCAGCTCAGTTGACAGGCGAACGCTTCGGAGCAGATGCTCTGGAGGCCCCTCAGGGCTAGTGGTCCTGCACTTTGCCGTGAACAAGGGCGCCATGGCGTGCTCCGATGAAGCATCTCGGAGAGCACTGCAGCGTGCAGCGCCAGGTGCACCGCATCGAGGCCGGCTTGGCGAAAGCCTTGTGCTGAGACTACCTCCCCGACGTTTGCGGCCGTGGTGAGAGGTGAGATGTCTGATATATGTCTGAGATGTAGGATGTTTACGAGTTTTCGCCCAACCGCACCGTGCGAGAAAGCTCAACAAGTAGATCAGCTCATTTCACGGCCACAGCCTGACTAGCTGCCGCGAGCATGGCCCGATCTGTCGGGGGAGCTTCCACGGCCGGGTCACGCTTGCTCCAGCCCAGGGCGTGCCCCGAAGCTGCGGTAATTTGTCCACCTCTTTCCAAGTCCAGCGCCACGGCCATTCCTTGTCGCGCCGTTGTTGAATCCTCCGTTGTTCTTCTGATCGCGCAGATTAAAGAAGGCATCTCCACAATGTACCGTCGACGAAGCTTTCAACTCGGCAAGATGTCTGTAGCTAATGATGGCAAGCTGCAGTCGAGGCTGCCCTTATTACCCCTGCGAGCAGATGTAGCAGCAACGGCCGGCTAGGCCCTAGGCTTTGAGATTCCGAAAGGGGCTCGCAGGAATGCACAATCGATGGAGGGGCACGCCTGAGGGCTTTCTTCATGGCGTAGGTTCCGTTCGCACTGTTTCCACAGCACTGCCGAAGCTGGCGGTGTTGCCTTGTCACTTTCTCTAGCCTGGTGACAGGGTACGTTCTTGGCTTCTTGTCTTGCCTGCATGGTGCAGGCGAAATGGTGGCTATGATGCACGGGACGGTCTGACTCGAGTGTCCCATGGACCCCATACTCGTAGGTATTTGCAGACATGCCGACCCTCAAAAACTGTATGTAGATGGCACTACCGTCACTGAGATTGCAGTGAGATCTCCATGTAGTCAAGCAAGCACCTGGCACCAACGTATGCGCTCGGGCAATCTGTTGATCCGCTCTATAGATGCTACGGCTGTGTTGATTCGAACGTCAGAGGGGATGCATGAGATAATGTCTTCCGGGCTGGGGTGTCCCGCACTTGTTGCCTCATGGGGCTGTCTTCAGATTCTGCCCTCTCAGCACGGGGTTCGATGTTGCGAAGGATCTTTTGCACCACTGCGGCGCTATGATGAGATACTTATCAGCGAGGTTTGAGGAGCTCCCCGAAGGAGTCTTGACTGTCCATAGAAGGATCGCCTCATGCAGAGGCTTGCGGACTTAGTCCGGGACCGGTCACAAGGGCAACGCGGTGCAGTGCTGCCTAGGCCCAGGCTCCTGGACCGGCCCGGACGATCGGTTTATGGAGCTCAACAGTAGCTCCCAGGTTGCTGTACATTCCACACATGTGGCGCTCATGTGGCCAGTGTCTGAGGCAGCAAGCAATGTATCATTATCAGCACTCTCTATCTCGCTCTGTTTCATCTTTCTAGGGTGCTCATGGAGTCTTTGCTCGCTCCTTCGCCGACACTGCCCCGTGCATATGCATCGCAGAAGGATGACCTGGGGACACGTGGGAGTGCCTCCAGAGTCTGCTTGAGCTGTCCGTGGAAATCCGGCAGTCCGGGCAAGTAGCAAAAACCAGGTTGCAAAGCTAGAAAGAAGACTGGTCTAATGGTTCCAAACTCTGGTCTAGAGGTTCGGCGATGGCTTCGGAAACGTTAACGGACAGCTCATATACCTTGTGATCACCTCTTGTACAAAGCTGATGTCTTTAATTATATCTTCCTCGGGAGAAGGTGAACGATCAGAAGTCAGAAGCCAATGAAGACTTGAGAGGATTCCTGCTCAGGCCATCTTGCTGCAAGATCGGTTCCCTTTCCTGATGCCCACGCATGCACGAGGAGTGACTAGCCGACAGGAGTGGGGCCTAAGACGAGGACCCGTGTGGCATAGGTTTTTCGAGGGACAGAGTGGCAGGCCGCACTCCTATTCTGGCCACCTTCTTGCACTGCATGGGGTCCCAGAGGATGGCCCACCCCCTGGGCGCAGCCAGCGAGGGCACAGAAGGACATCTCGGGTACGAGTTGCCTTGGTGGCCTTCTGTCGTGCTGAGATGCCCCACAGGCGGACAGACAATGATTCGAAGGATCTCGTCTAGCACGGCTCCAAGCGTGCATCTGAGGCCTGAAGCTTCAAGCATCATTGACTCGTTGCCGCCGGCGCCGTCCTGTAATTGATTAATCTGTTATGCCAGTGCGATGAATTCGCTAGCATGTCCTCAAGTTGACAAGCGGAAAAAGCTAAGAGTGCTCTACCCCTTTTGCCATTGAAAGCACGGTGAACGAGCCGCTTCTGTTCGGATTGCGACAGGCGTTTTTCCGGATGCAAGAACAGATGATTGCCTGGGATGCTGGCTCAACGTGCGCAAGCATTAGGCATGCAGGAAGGTAAACTTGTTCATGTGGCGCAGGCATGCGTCAAGTTTGTCGAGTTCGTCGAGATAGAACACAATCAGTGAAACTGCAAGAACAGCAAACCTACAGTTCCAGCGACGGTGCCTCGGACTCGAAGGTACAGCGCAGGCAGCACTTCGATACAGTTGTCCGTGTGCTTGCTTGAACTAGCAATACATTTTCATTTTCAGCCAGAGCTTCCTTCACCAGGAAGATGAGCTCGCCTCGTCGCAAGTCTGGGGAGGACATGACGGGGGCTTGTCAGGATGATCCAAATTTTCAAAACCCTTCGCAATTGTCAGGAGGGCCACTGCCAGTCAGAGTCCCAGGAGTTCGGGCCGAAATGGATATTCCAGAAGTTCAGACTGTCTCAGCAATCAGTTGTTCTCATGTGGTGCGAATATTTGCTGTACCTTCGGATTTTTCGTGGCATGTGAATCAGGGTCGGTTGACCGTGCCGACACCTATTGGCGCAGAAAGCTATCCACAAGCCTCAAAGCAAGGACAACTTACCAAAAGTGGAGAAACTTTGGCCACAAAAAATGAATGCCATGGAAACTTATTGACAGGTGTTCAAGACCTTCCATTCCATGCGCCGAGAGATTTTGAGGTATTTTCTTCTCTCTCCTCGCCCGCCTGGGTCTCAGTCTGCGGCTTGTGCTCCGCAAGCGCATACCAGAGCCGCATCCACACGTGTTTTCTGCAGATGTCGATGTTGCATCACGAAGCCTTCTGGCCAGTTGGAATCTTTCCAGCATCACGTCCTTCGCATCCGCACACTGCACCTCGTGCTTGCAGTTGACGGAACGACCCCTTGGCTTGCACAGGCTTAAAATGCGCTCTCCACGCACGCCGAAGTCCCGCGAGGCCAAGCAGTGCAAGCCAAAGCTCATCCGGAAAAGAAGCGCTTCGTTGTCCTTCTCCCGAGAAAAGCAAACACGTCGTATCCACTCGAGTAGCATGGTCTCCTGAGCTGCCGAGGCCCTTCCTCATGGGCCGCGGGCACCACACACGGCCCGTGGGTCCCAGGAGTGTCGATGGGGAGGGATGCCGTGTGCCTCTGGCACTGGCCTCTGCATAAGCCACGTTGTCATTTTGCGGCATGGCAATGGCTGACAGCTTGCAGCTGGGCAGAGCCCCTGTGGTTGGGAATTTCGAGCACAGGACAAGGACAAACGCTTGGAAGATGCTGACGACCTCTGCCCTTCCGTGTGCTCCGAGAAGTTCAGCGTGTGCGCCGGTCTGTCTATGAGCCCAGAGGCTTGTGCAAGTGATCTAGAATTTCGCAGGTACTCGGAGGCAAGCAATGTCTCTCGCTTGACCCAGCCCGGCTCTCGGTCCCCGACCGACCCCGAATTTTGAGCGCGCGCTTTGTTGAAAGCTTCAGCTTGCGGAGGCTCTCTCGGAAGAGCCTGGCGAAGCGCTGCCTCAGCTCCAAAGAGCTCGAGGAGCTCGAGGCCTCCCCGGGGTGCAAACGCGAAGAGCAGCCGGTGCTGACTCCTGTCCTCCTGCTCCTGGGCAGGTCATGGAGAAGCGCCGCGAAGTCAGCGCCGCTGGCCTTAGCATACCAGTAATAGCCCATGCAAAAGAGCAGAGCTGCAAAATCTCTGCTCGCGACTGGCTGACAATTGTTTCCGCAGCTCAGGCAATGCTGCGCAGAAACCAAGTGAACTGCCGAAAGGTCCACCGCCTCCTTACATTCATTTGGTCTGCAATTATCCACAGGTTCGGGCTTGACCAGGCAGGCTTGCAGGCTTGTCAACCAGCACCCAGCAGCGTACCTGTAGCCATATTTACGAGAGTAAACTTTCGCGCTTCTTGCGCGCGAGAGTCTGTCGCTTGCCTTGTGCCGCAGCCCTTCCTTCAGGGACCAGGGCCTCACCTACAAGGGCATTTAGTCATGCCCAATCAAGTCAGCAGCAGTAGAATTTGAGAGACGCACACAGAACTAAACAATGATCTTGATAGATCGCAACACTTACATTAGATAATCGTATATATATATATATATATATATATATATGTGTGTAAGGCAACTTTACATGTAGACCTTGTTTCATATATATATATATATATATATATACACACATACACGCACACACGCACGCACGTAGTCGGTTTTCCTGCACAGATGTCGTTTGTACACTTCTATCAAAGCGCTCGCCAAGAACCCGCACAGCCCAGGGCCGAAGCCCCAAGCCAAGCTGGATCTGGCCCGCCAACAGCACCCAAGCAGCGTCTTGTTTGCCTTGACGCCATGGGGGAGATGCCAGAAAGATCCCCTTGGGGTGCCTTGAGCAGATGTAGGGGTGCTTGAGTTGTCGATGTAGCTGGTGGACTAAGTGGCTTAACTTAGTCGCCAAGAAGGACCGTGGACGGAGTTCGGCCGAAGCATCTGTGGGGCAGAGGAGGCAAGGGCCCCAGCTCGTGCTCTCAAGTGAACCAAGCCGCGACTACGAGCCCAAGCAAGGCGGTCGCTGCTACGATCGACCAGCACAGCCCTCATGCTTCTCACTCTTCTCGGGGTGTCTTTGCAGCTCCTGCTGTGCAGGATCCTCACGGATGGCGGCACACTCCTTTGGCAGAAGTATCTGGAGAGGAAGGCGTTGAAATGCATTCGGGATGACAGGCAAACAAGACCAGAGCTTCGCTTTCGTGTCAAGGCCTTCTCCTTCGCCTCCAATGCTATCTCTGATGCTTTGGTCAGCCGTCTGCGGATGCTCGCGGCCCAAGTTGGGGTTTGCCCGTTGCGCAGTGGGGACCGGCTGTCTTCCGCGTGCTCGCGAGGTGCTACGTCAGCCATGATTCAGGGGAGACTGCAGTAGACGGGGCTCTAAGAGGCGGCAGGGCCAGGATTTTCGCCTTCATTTGGATTCGTACGCTGAGCAACCGGGAGGCCCGGAATGGAACATTGAAGATGCCGGGGCCACAGGTTGAGACCAAGTGACCACGGCCACATGCGTGCACTTAGAGCCGTCGCCCAGGAACCACAGCCTTGCGAGATCGACAGCTGGGCGTTCCTTGGAGTCAGCATAGAAAGGCCCTTCATAAACGGCCGCTTGTAAAGGACCCGGACCTTGGGCTGACAGTCTTTTCTGAGACTGGCCATTTCGCAGAATAGTTGTAAGAGGGCTAAGATTGAGGGGCGTCATGAAACATCAAGTGGTGTGGAGACAGAGTCATGCACAAGAGGCGGTGTGCGCTTGCGGCAGTTTCTAGAGCAGCGGTTCCCAGGCGAATGCATTTGCCAGTTCGGCGAAGTGGGAAAGCCGACGAGGAGCCCTGTGGAACAGTGTGGAGCAGTGGGTTACTTGGTAACAGTCCCGGGGCTTCACTGCATCAGGCCTCCACATCCGGGGGAAAGCTGCCTGGCAAGCCTCGACGAGGCAGCACGACAGTCGAAACTTCAGACGATAGATTCACGGTTCGCACATGTTCACGTCATCCTGGCACAAAATCGTGTCGCTGCCCCAGCTACTCCCATTCCGTTCCATTCCATTCCAGGCTTCCAAGTCTTTCGCGAGCTTGGAAATATCACGCAGACTTGCTAGGCCAGCTTGCGAGCTCCTCGCGCCCCAAGGTTGGCACCGTGCAGTGCAAGTGTGTAGCAATCTGCATTTTCTATGTGATGGTTGCCGTGAGGGGCCAGTCGAAGATAACGACAAGTAGCAACGTCAGGGGCCGTGGGTTCACGGGGTTGTAACAGTCAGGCCGCCAGTGGCCTGTCTTCTGTCAAGGAGCTTCCTGGCAGCAAACAAGAAGGATCTGCAGCGGACAGGATCAACCCTCTACAAAGATGGCAGAAAGAATCCAAGCGTTGCAACTTGTGCATGCAGCGGAATGCATGCTGATCCAAGGAAGGCCACCGACCAGCCCCCGAGGAGAGCTGCTACGAGACTGGGGGTAGTGGCTTGCTGCGGCATTCTGTTCGGATACAGCCGAACAGCCCACAGGATGTTCATGCTGGAGGGCGAGAACACTGTGGATCCTGAAGAGGAAAGGATGCGCGAGGCAGGGATCCGCTTGCGGTTTGGTTTGAAAGAGACGAAAAGCGTGTGCGGCTTGGCTAGGCCAAAGCCCAAGAGGAAGCAAGGAAACGTGACAAGGAACGCCTTGCCAAGGCCTGGTGGACCTGCCGTGGGGTTGCGGCTCTGGGACCGGAGCTGCTTGAAGCATTGACTGTTGACTTACTGCGGCATTTTACATGTCCTTATGAACTGGTGATTGAGATGCGTGCGACGTCTGCATCCCCAATCCCACAGTTGTGACAGGAGTCGGAGAAGACGCAAGAGGAAGAGAGGCGGAAGGTGGCCAAAACACGTGCTTGTTCTGTATCTCGTGTTCCCACAAAGCACCGCAGCGTAACATCATCTGGCGCTCTCTGTTGTTTGTGCCGGCGCACCCCGAAGACCCAGCAGAGCTGGATACGTCCATTCCAAACCAGCTGGAAAAGGAAGATCACATCCTCTCCTGTTCATGGTTTGGAATGCAAAAGGCTGCTCCGTGGCTTGGGTGCCGATCGATTTGAAGCTGGGACCGCAACATCGCCATTCCTTTTCTTGCGGGCCTACCGAGTCTGGCGGCGCAAGCTGTGTGTTGTTTCCTTTTTCGGCTTGGGCTGCCCTGCTCACTGTGCGCCCGCAGACCGTGCCGAACAGGTTCACCGTTGCTGGGCACACTGGCACACTGACCGAGTGGATCTCTTAAGCTCCAGCCCGCCAGGTGCAACAGCTCCACGAGGAGATGTCAAAGCGGCCGCACACCTTCGACACTGAGGCCTCGCGCCTTTGCGAAATTTCACGATGTCCGGAACCGGCGGATCTCAGTGAGTTCGTGTTAGGGCAATCTCATCTGGGTCGACGAGTTGAAGCCGGAGCGTCTGCCGAAGCCCCCGCCTCAGTCCTCGCATTCAATTGAGTTTCATCAGGCTCCGAAAATGGACTGTGGTGACGACTGTGGTGTTCTTCAGATAGCGTCGTGCTTTTTGGGGATCTCTCGTGACACTGCAGGCTCGTGGAAGCCTTCGGCTACTCCGTGAAACGAGAGCCGAAGATGCGGGTCGCCGGGCTGCAGAGACAATTCCGTGGTTACAAAGAAAGGGCTCCGCTGCATTTCTTCCACAACCTGAGCCCGACCTTTTGTCGGCTTCAACCACGCCCTTTAAGATAAAATTGCCTGAGGTCTGAGTCCCTGAATACACACCCTTAGCCTTGGTGCCGAAGTCCCAACAGCACGGACGCACCGCACCGAACTCTTCCTAAGACCTCGAAGTCTCGAGCTTTTGGACAAGCTAAGAGGTTTCGAGCCCGCAAGAGTCGCAAAGCCCCGGTCCTCCTCCATTAAGCTTGCAAGACACCGGGAAGCTTTGCAACCAGTGTTCAAGTGCGAAACCAACAGCAGGTGACATCATGAAGTCACATGAACATTGCCCCTTGCAACTGGCGAAAGACAGCGTAGATCATTTCTCCCTGAGTAGCAACTAAATCCGGACTAACTCGATCAGCAGCCTGCGGCCTGTGCAGCAAACCTCCCAGGACGACAAGGCAGCCCTTGGCAAGGGCCACAGAAGCCGGCAAGTCTTGTTTGTTGAAAGTCGTCGGAGTGTAGGGACTCAAGAGTGAAGCATCTGCCTGGTCAGCCGGAGTCCCTGGCAGCATTCAGTCAGCCGTTCTTGCAAGGAACAACCATGGCCGCCCCCAAAGCGAAGCAAAGGCCAAGGAGGCCCCGCCGACAAAGTGAGATGGCCGCATGCAGTTACTTTGGGCGGCTGATGACATGCTTCCCCAATGCCCAATCACGTGGAACCATGAAGCGAGTTGCAAAGCAAGTTGAGCTTGGCTCCTCTTGTCACGCTGCTTCCATATTCCTGGCCCTGTGCGTCTGTTGATGGCGGGCAGGGCAAACCATGGTAGCATCAACTAGCATCAGCGAACAGCTGCTTGAAGCGAGTCGAAAATTGAAGGCAGATGTGGACGCACGGCTGTGTATTCTCAGCGGCCCACCAGAAAAAGGGCACCGTGTCTTTGTGGTGTACATCCGTTTTGGTGGCGTCCTAAACCGACCGTGGGCAAGTTGAGTTTGGCTCCTTGTGCCGCGTTGCCTCCATATTCCTGGCCCTGTGCGTCTGTTGATGGCGGGCAGGGCAAACCATGGTAGCATCAACTGACATCAGCGAACAGCTGCTTGAAGCGAGTCGAAAATTGAAGGCAGATGTGGATGCACGGCTGTGTATTCTCAGCAGCCCACCAGAAAAAGGGCACCGTGTCTTCGTGGTGTACATCCGTGTTGGTGGCGTCCTAAACCGACCGTGGGCAAGTTGAGTTTGGCTCCTTGTGCCACGCTGCTTCCATATTCCTGGCCCTGTGCGTCTATTGATGGTGGGCAGGGCAAACCATGGTAGCATCAACTGGCATCAGCGAAAAGCTGCTTGAAGCGAGTCGAAAATTGAAGGCAGATGTGGACGCAAGGCTGTGTATTCTCAGCAGCCCACCAGAAAAAGGGCACCGTGTCTTCGTGGTGTACATCCGTGTTGGTGACGTCCAAAACCGACCGTGGGCAAGTTGAGTTTGGCTCCTTGTGCCACGCTGCTTCCATATTCCTGGCCCTGTGCGTCTGTTGATGGCGGGCAGGGCAAACCATGGTAGCATCAACTGGCATCAGCGAACAGCTGCTTGAAGCGAGTCAAAATTGAAGGCAGATGTGGACGCACGGCTGTGTCTTCTCAGCAGCCCACCAGAAAAAGGGCACCGTGTCTTCGTGGTGTACATCCGTGTTGGTGGCATCCTAAACCGACCGTGGGCAAGTTGAGTTTGGCTCCTTGTGCCACGCTGCTTCCATATTCCTGGCCCTGTGCGTCTGTTGATGGCGGGCAGGGCAAACCATGGTAGCATCAACTGGCATCAGCGAACAGCTGCTTGAAGCGAGTCGAAAATTGAAGGCAGATGTGGATGCACGGCTGTGTATTCTCAGCAGCCCACCAGAAAAAGGGCACCGTGTCTTCGTGGTGTACATCCGTGTTGGTGGCATCCTAAACCGACCGCGGGCAAGTTGAGTTTGGCTCCTTGTGCCACGCTGCTTCCATATTCCTGGCCCTGTGCGTCTGTTGATGGCGGGCAGGGCAAACCATGGTAGCATCAACTGGCATCAGCGAACAGCTGCTTGAAGCGAGTCGAAAATTGAAGGCAGATGTGGATGCACGGCTGTGTATTCTCAGCAGCCCACCAGAAAAAGGGCACCGTGTCTTCGTGGTGTACATCCGTGTTGGTGGCGTCCTAAACCGACCGCGGGCAAGTTGAGTTTGGCTCCTTGTGCCACGCTGCTTCCATATTCCTGCCCCTGTGCGTCTGTTGATGGCGGACAGGGCAAACCATGGTAGCATCAACTGGCATCAGCGAACAGCTGCTTGAAGCGAGTCGAAAATTGAAGGCAGATGTGGACGCACGGCTGTGTATTCTCAGCAGCCCACCAGAAAAAGGGCACCGTGTCTTCGTGGTGTACATCCGTGTTGGTGGCGTCCTAAACCGACCGTGGGCAAGTTGAGTTTGGCTCCTTGTGCCACGCTGCTTCCATATTCCTGGCCCTGTGCGTCTGTTGATGGCGGCAGGGCAAACCATGGTAGCATCAACTGGCATCAGCGAACAGCTGCTTGAAGCGAGTCAAAATGGAAGGCAGATGTGGACGCACGGCTGTGTATTCTCAGCAGCCCACCAGAAAAAGGGCACCGTGTCTTCGTGGTGTACATCCGTGTTGGTGGCGTCCTAAACCGACCGTGGGCAAGTTGAGTTTGGCTCCTTGTGCCACGCTGCTTCCATATTCCTGGCCCTGTGCGTCTGTTGATGGCGGGCAGGGCAAACCATGGTAGCATCAACTGGCATCAGCGAAAAGCTGCTTGAAGCGAGTCGAAAATTGAAGGCAGATGTGGACGCACGGCTGTGTATTCTCAGCAGCCCACCAGAAAAAGGGCACCGTGTCTTCGTGGTGTACATCCGTGTTGGTGGCGTCCTAAACCGACCGTGGGCAAGTTGAGTTTGGCTCCTTGTGCCACGCTGCTTCCATATTCCTGGCCCTGTGCGTCTGTTGATGGCGGGCAGGGCAAACCATGGTAGCATCAACTGGCATCAGCGAAAAGCTGCTTGAAGCGAGTCGAAAATTGAAGGCAGATGTGGACGCACGGCTGTGTATTCTCAGCAGCCCACCAGAAAAAGGGCACCGTGTCTTCGTGGTGTACATCCGTGTTGGTGGCGTCCTAAACCGACCGTGGGCAAGTTGAGTTTGGCTCCTTGTGCCACGCTGCTTCCATATTCCTGGCCCTGTGCGTCTGTTGATGGCGGGCAGGGCAAACCATGGTAGCATCAACTGGCATCAGCGAAAAGCTGCTTGAAGCGAGTCGAAAATTGAAGGCAGATGTGGACGCACGGCTGTGTATTCTCAGCAGCCCACCAGAAAAAGGGCACCGTGTCTTCGTGGTGTACATCCGTGTTGGTGGCGTCCTAAACCGACCGTGGGCAAGTTGAGTTTGGCTCCTTGTGCCACGCTGCTTCCATATTCCTGGCCCTGTGCGTCTGTGCGTCTGTTGATGGCGGGTAGGGCAAACCATGGTAGCATCAACTGGCATCAGCGAACAGCTGCTTGAAGCGAGTCGAAAATTGAAGGCAGATGTGGACGCACGGCTGTGTATTCTCAGCAGCCCACCAGAAAAAGGGCACCGTGTCTTCGTGGTGTACATCCGTGTTGGTGGCGTCCTAAACCGACCGTGGGCAAGTTGAGTTTGGCTCCTTGTGCCACGCTGCTTCCATATTCCTGGCCCTGTGCGTCTGTTGATGGCGGGCAGGGCAAACCATGGTAGCATCAACTGGCATCAGCGAAAAGCTGCTTGAAGCGAGTCGAAAATTGAAGGCAGATGTGGACGCACGGCTGTGTATTCTCAGCAGCCCACCAGAAAAAGGGCACCGTGTCTTCGTGGTGTACATCCGTGTTGGTGGCGTCCTAAACCGACCGTGGGCAAGTTGAGTTTGGCTCCTTGTGCCACGCTGCTTCCATATTCCTGGCCCTGTGCGTCTGTTGATGGCGGGCAGGGCAAACCATGGTAGCATCAACTGGCATCAGCGAAAAGCTGCTTGAAGCGAGTCGAAAATTGAAGGCAGATGTGGACGCACGGCTGTGTATTCTCAGCAGCCCACCAGAAAAAGGGCACCGTGTCTTCGTGGTGTACATCCGTGTTGGTGGCGTCCTAAACCGACCGTGGGCAAGTTGAGTTTGGCTCCTTGTGCCACGCTGCTTCCATATTCCTGGCCCTGTGCGTCTGTTGATGGCGGGCAGGGCAAACCATGGTAGCATCAACTGGCATCAGCGAAAAGCTGCTTGAAGCGAGTCGAAAATTGAAGGCAGATGTGGACCCACGGCTGTGTATTCTCAGCAGCCCACCAGAAAAAGGGCACCGTGTCTTCGTGGTGTACATCCGTGTTGGTGGCGTCCTAAACCGACCGTGGGCAAGTTGAGTTTGGCTCCTTGTGCCACGCTGCTTCCATATTCCTGGCCCTGTGCGTCTGTTGATGGCGGGCAGGGCAAACCATGGTAGCATCAACTGGCATCAGCGAAAAGCTGCTTGAAGCGAGTCGAAAATTGAAGGCAGATGTGGACGCACGGCTGTGTATTCTCAGCAGCCCACCAGAAAAAGGGCACCGTGTCTTCGTGGTGTACATCCGTGTTGGTGGCGTCCTAAACCGACCGTGGGCAAGTTGAGTTTGGCTCCTTGTGCCACGCTGCTTCCATATTCCTGGCCCTGTGCGTCTGTTGATGGCGGGCAGGGCAAACCATGGTAGTATCAACTGGCATCAGCAAAAAGCTGCTTGAAGCGAGTCGAAAATTGAAGGCAGATGTGGACGCACTGCTGTGTAATCTCAGCAGCCCACCAGAAAAAGGGCACCGTGTCTTCGTGGTGTACATCCGTGTTGGTGGCGTCCTAAACCGCGGGCAAGTTGAGTTTGGCTCCTTGTGCCACGCTGCTTCCATATTCCTGGCCCTGTGCGTCTGTTGATGGCGGGCAGGGCAAACCATGGTAGCATCAACTGGCATCAATGAAAAGTTGCTTGAAGCGAGTCGAAAATTGAAGGCAGATGTGGACGCACGGCTGTGTATTCTCAGCAGCCCACCAGAAAAAGGGCACCGTGTCTTCGTGGTGTACATCCGTGTTGGTGGCGTCCTAAACCGACCGTGGGCAAGTTGAGTTTGGCTCCTTGTGACGCTGCTTCCATATTCCTGGCCCTGTGCGTCTGTTGATGGTGGGCAGGGCAAACCATGGTAGCATCAACTGGCATCAGCGAAAAGCTGCTTGAAGCGAGTCGAAAATTGAAGGCAGATGTGGACGCACGGCTGTGTATTCTCAGCAGCCCACCAGAAAAAGGGCACCGTGTCTTCGTGGTGTACATCCGTGTTGGTGGCGTCCTAAACCGACCGCGGGCAAGTTGAGTTTGGCTCCTTGTGACGCTGCTTCCATATTCCTGGCCCTGTGCGTCTGTTGATGACGGGCAGGGCAAACCATGGTAGCATCAACTGGCATCAGCGAACAGCTGCTTGAAGCGAGTTGTGGACGCACTTTGCTACTTTGTTTGTGAAGCTGGCGTTGCATGGAAGCGATATTTGTTGCTCTGACTGACTTGATTGCGAGAATTGACGCCACATGGAATGTCAAAGTTCGGTTTCGTTGCCATTGCGGTTGGCTCTTCGTTCTCTAGGTTGACGAGCTGCCCTGTTCTGTTAGCCTGGCTCCCGGCAGGCATCGTGGAGGTGGACGAGGTGCAAAGAAAACAGACGTGGCTGGCTGAGTGCAGAACGACTGGGCACTCCTGGAAAGGTGGAAATCTGTACCACTTTGTTCGGTATTGGATCCAAGTTCTGGGTAAAGGGAGGAGGCTTCGGTGCACCAAGCTCTTTACTCCCTACAGACACGTTCGACATTTCAGAAGGAACGATGCAGAGCCAAGCTCTTTCCTCAAGCTCCAGCATGGACACAAGGCTTCACCAGAGTTCACCGACGGCTTCTCCAAGCTGCAGCACGGGCAGCCGCCGATCCTCGAGACGATGGCCGGATGGCCTCAGCTTTCGCTTGCTGACAGCCTGCGGTAGCGTGCTTCCGTCACCTCACAGCCTCTCACAGCCTTGCAGGTTGTGGTCCCGGGTGTAACTCTGGAGCAGCTTGGCAAGGTCAAGGCGCGGTTGATAAAAACTTCAATTCGCTCAAGAATCAAGGCTTCCCGGCAGCTCCTTATTGTAGCAAGTGCTATCGCAGTCGTCGCACTGTCTGCAGAGCGGTCCGGACGACGAGAAGCGCTTCCTCTCGCGGCGGGAGTACGTGCAGCTGGCCGAACAGGAGGCGGGCACCGGCCAAAAGCTGGGTCCAAGATGGTCGCCACTGTCACAGCGACTCGTTTGGCCCTCATGAAGGAGCCGCTGCCCCAATTACCATACTGCTGCATGTGCAACACAGTCCTGAGCACCATTGAGCACTTCACCCAGTCTGTGTCGAAGCGTGCGCTTTGCAAAGCCTACAGGTGGCCCTCGACAGCAGTTTCCGCGGCAGAGGCTCTTGACGCGTGTTGACGCTCTGCCTTCGAGAGCATATCTGTGGACCTTTCGGGGTTTTGCACTGGCGCATCTGTGAGAAGTCTTGAACTTGAAGGTGGCAGCATGTCGCAAGATGGAAGCGCGAGAGCCTCGGGCAGGGACATCAACCTAATATACGTGGCGGGGAGGGTAGAACTGCACAGGGAAGAAATTCCACTATGCTACTTTCGAGCAAGGCGAAACTATGCACGAGGTCAACAAGGTAGTATCAGTCCGGTCTAGTAGGCACGCCTGTGCCTGGCTTGAAGCATCTGCGGAACCAGATCTTGCGACCCGTTTGCGTTCGAGCACGAGGATTGACAAGCAATGGGCAAAGCTAAACACCAAGTGGATAGATCTCACTGCCAGATGCCTCGGATTCATGGCTTCTTTCTACTTTCAGGCTTCCCCGCCCATGCCCTCGTCGACAGCTGCAAGGGTCTCAGAATGGCACTGGCAGATGTGCTTTCTGCCGTCGCTCAGCTCGGAGTTGCGAAGGCTCCACCGGGTGCCAGTCCGCCTGGTGGTGAGGCACTGGCTGCAACCGTAGCTAGTCGGAGCCATTATGGGCACATGCGGCACATGGCCGCACTTCCAGGCACCACCTGGTGGAGGCGGTGCGGCACTTCCCCAGATCCCACAAGGACTCCCACTTTGCAAAGAGGGAGCCTTTAAGCCTTTAACCAACGCTTTTCTCCTCGGCAGGACGAGGCCCCGCGGCCGTCGCATACCCAGGCCGATGTCTTGAGGGAACAGAGTGGGGTCTGAGGATAGATCTCGAACCCCAAAGCATGATTTATGACTGAAAGGACCCCTTAAGATACCTTCGAGCTTTGTTTTTCACGCAGACGCAGCATACTTCCCACTTCTCGTTGCGAGTTTTCTACGGATCTCTCACATGTGGACTCTCTCAGGGTTTCGGGGATGGTTTTGCTTTCGTCTTCGGTTTTGGAGAGTGCTTGAGCTCGGAGTTTCGGTGTCGACTTTGGTGAGACCCTCACCTTGACCTCGATCCATCATGGCGTAGCACCACCCAGCCCTCCCTTTTCTCAGCTCCTGGAGCCGATGGTGAGCTTGGGGCCCAGAGGGCGGTGCGGGGGTTGTTGGGGATTTGAAGGCTCCAAAGGCACCCGGATTCTTGAGAATTGGATCCCCAGGCGCACGCTCGCGAACCCCTCGCAGAAGGCCGGGCTATCTGAGTTGTGCTGCGGCTTTGCTGAAGTCGCCACTTTTCATGTCGGCGAGAGGCCCCACCGGCTCCGCCGGCGCAACTCCGCATGCGGAAATACGAGGTTCCGCTGCTTCGAAATGTGGGAGCTTAGGCGAGAATCCGGACTGTCCTTGTTCAAGAGTGGCTGCCCGGCACACCGGCTACCAGCATGCAGTGACGCGGTCTTGAGAAGTGGGTCCCGCCTTGAAGGCGCTGGGCTTCGGCAGAGATCCCAGGCACGCCACGCTTGGTGGGCTTTCACTCGTTCAGGGTTTGGGCTTAAGCGGCTTGCTTGGAGGTATCATCCGCCCAGCCTGGGTGGAGGCCAGGGCTTGGGCTCGCCGTCCACTGCTCAGCTGGGAGGCATTTGCTTACGGCGGGAACTTCCCAGGCCTTTGGGCTTTAAGTTTCGCGAACGCGCGTCCAAGCACCTAACGGTCGTTCCTAGTCCGAGTAACAATTACACTAAGCTGCCTGCAACCTCAACTTTAGAAGGCCTGATTGCGCAAGTCAATCATATTGCACTGTCGCGAGCTTGCTGTTCTGGAGTAACAACCTGGACCCCAATCCCTATGCCAAATTCTACAAGACCCCCTTTGCCTAGTTTAGACGTATGGCACCTAGATAGAAGTAAGTAGTATCCCTAAGATGGTAACTTGGGTTGGGATCATCCCACTGGGGCTGAGATCTCAAGATAGATCTTATCCTAGGTTGGGAGGTGAGATCTTAGGATAGATGTTATCCTAGGGTGGGGGTGGGGGTTGCCATACACCTAAATGGGCAAGGTATCCTCTAACTCTATCTGGTGCGAAGTAGCCGTGAATTTCCTTAAGGCAGCCTGTGCTGGGTGCAACTATGGGGCATGGCCTCATGAAGGTGAACAAGGAGGCAGGACTGGATTTTGTATGAATATTAGGGTATTTGATGGGTTTAGGATGGCTTTTGAGTTGCTTTGGAAGCAACTATCGTGTGATCAGCCATGAGCTGATGAGGAATGCTAGACTTCACCAGGAGACTTACGGCTTGCTGCGTGCATGAAAGGCCTTCTTCTTCCCCCCGGCGGCGCCCGAATTGCCTTTGGGCCTCTTGAGGCAGGTTTCCGGGATTTTTTCCCACAGCCGGCTGTTCACGGTTGTTCTGTTTCTCGAAGACGGAACCCGCACACATGCGTTTTAGCTTGGCATCAGTATGGGTCAACAGTGCAGAGCTAAGCAAATAGATGGAGTAAGGTGTCAGACGGGCAGGTGTGCTGACATGAGCAGCCAGGCAAGGTGTGACAGGGGAACACCTCCCAGGCCCAGACGAAGAAATATCATGAACCCCAGCCCAGATGAAGCTCTCTCGAGTGTTCAAAGTTGCTTTTGTTATAAAAGGCTCAAGATGTAGTCTATCATTACTCTCCGCATTGTCGCTTCTTTGATGTAAACTCCTGCTGTGGCTGCATCTGCAGAACGATTTTGTTAACTCAAGCCGGAAGTCGACAGCCAAAATCAGCGAAGTTGTGCCTCAGGTCTCAAAGCGATGCAGCTCTTGGCGGGTTCCTGATGTTCTGGAGGGAGGGAGGGAACCGAAGACGGAGATGGCACTAGATGCCGGTTCCAACAGGTTGCTCTGCTGGACTCTAGCGACTAAGTCTGCCTCACATAGGAGTCGATCACACACAAGGGCATCTTGTCACCTCCGCAGTTCGGAGTTCGAAGACATATCTGTGAATACTACGACAAAGCTGAGGTATGAGCCCGTGTACGCACTCGTTTACTTCCATTCCTTCCCTCCGCACCTCCCTCTGAGTTTCACGGCGGTGGTTTGCCTTGCACCTGCTGCAGATGCGAGATGAGGGTAGCTTGTCAAGCTGAGAGATGCGCACCGTAAGGCAGTGCCCGACGAGGTGGCCGGGACCCTGGATTGAGCGATGGGAGGAGGTGAAGAGGATAGTTGATACTAGCACAACGTCACCATGGAGAGCGCACCGTCGTTTACAGTGGCTGAAGTTCAGCATCGCAAAGGAGACTCTTTGTGGCCTGACATGGCTTGAGGCAATACCCCTGGACGCGAACCGTCTACAGGCTTTACCAGTGACCAGTGATTGGCTGTCAACTTCGACTTGCTCCAGTGATTGGCGGGCCTGCATGGAGCACATGGCAATGGAAGCATCGTCCACGCTCGTCCTCTGTTGGGGGCGGTATGGCTGATAGGAGTTAGTAGGTGCCAAATCCACGATCAATTCTCTGCAGAGGCGATCCTGCCTCAGAGGGAGAAGATGGCGGGCGGCTGCGGCCAGAAATGTCCGGGTGCCTGAGAAACTGGGGACTGGTGTGATTTGTTGTGCCAGCTAGAATCATCACAAAAGCCGCACCACTGTGAGCTTTGCAGGGCCGTCCAAGCGACACGTTTAGTCTTCCAGCCCATTCAAGCGTGCCGCAAATTTTGTCATGGCGAAAGCCCTGAGCATCGCATGCCTGGGCGTGCTTGGCTTCGCCGGTGCCCACAAGCCGCGCACCGACGTGGAGAAGGCATTCGACAAGTTCTTGAAGGATTTCAGCAAGGACTACGACGAAGTGGAGAAGCAGGCTCGCTTCGGTGCCTTCGCGGACAACTTCGAGTACATCACACGTGAGAATGCCAAGGGCCATTCCTACCAGCTCGGTTTGAACGAGTTCTCGGATTTGTCGCTGGATGAGTTCAAGATGAACAAGCTCGGGCTGAAGCTTCCAGAGTCCGTGTGGGGAGAGCTGCCGAGCTTGGGCATGCACAAGGCAGGCAATTCCTCGCTGCCCAGCTCCGTCGACTGGCGCAGCAAGGCCGTGACGCCTGTGAAGAACCAGAAGCAGTGCGGCTCCTGGGCCGTTCTTGAGCACACTGCGTAGTTTGAGTTGAGTAACCTATATGTTCGAGCAGGGCGACACAAATGTGAGATCTGTCGAGCGCCTCCCTGAACACCCCAGGCTCATGTTGGGCATTCTCTACGACGGGTGCCTTGGAGGGTGCCTGGGCCATTGCCACGGGCAAGCTTGTCTCGCTGTCTGAGCAGCAGCCTGCAACTCAGCTTGGGCATGCACGTCCAGTTCAAGATGAAGCCATGTGAAACTCGTCGGAGCTTGCAGTGCCTCAGGCTGGTCGACTGCTCCAAGAAGTTCGGCAATGAGGGCTGCAGCGGAGGCCTCATGGATAACGGCTTCAAGTACGAGGAGCAGGCACCTGTGTGCACGGAGGACGGGCTCGCAGGGGTTCGCAGTTTTTGTTATCCAAAGTTCCATATTGGCGAGCCCGCGCGGGATTCTTGCTCGTTTCGTGAGGACAGCTACCCGTACTTGGCCAAGAATGGCATCTGCAAGGCCTCCGGCTGCAAGGTGGGAATTCCCGCGCACGGCGTCACCGGCTACAAGGACGTCAAGGCCGACGACGAGCAGTCTCTGATGGACGCTGTCTCGAAGCAGCCTGTGTCCGTGGCCATCGAGGCAAGACCGTGTCGGTGGCCTTCGATCCTGCTGAGGGTTAGGCTAAATCGGTGGGTCCTTCACCGTGTTGTGCTTCCTTGTTTCCTGTGTTTCGAGTGTCTCCGGGACAATAGGCAGATCAGATGGCCTTCCAGCTCTACAAGGGCGGAGTGCTCAGCAAGACCTGCGGCACCAAGTTGGACCACGGCGTGTTGGTCGTGGGCTACGGAACCGAGGACGGCAAGGACTACTGGTTGGTGAAGCCTGCTGGCTGCAAGAGGAGTTTGGATCCACGGGTCGAGAGGTTTGTGATAGGCGCAAGCTAGAGAGAATTTTGGATCGGCTGTCGACGGTTGAGAAGTTGTCAGGAACAGCTGGGGATCTACGTGGGGTGAATCCGGGTATGTGAAGCTGGAGCGTGGCAAGCCGGGACCTGGTGAGTGCGGCATCAAGAGCCAGGCATCCTACCCCGTTGTGTCCGGCAAGGGCCCCTCTCCATCTCCATCTCCTCCCTCTCCTCCGTCTCCCCCATCTCCTCCGACTCCCAGCACCAGCCACTATGAGAAGCCGCCGTGCCAGAAGGACGAGACCCAGGCTGAGGTGGAGGGTGCCGGTGGCAGCGTGTGTGCCCCCAAGTGCAACACCGGCTCCTGCCCAACGGACGTCCCAGAGGGCACCACCGCCAAGCCCATGTGCATCCTTCAGGACGAGAGCAGCGGCGACAAGTACTGTGCCCTGGCCTGCATTGTGGGTGGCTGCCCCGATGGCTCCAAGTGCGTTCACCTGTCCAGCCTGCTGGGTGTCTGCATCTATCCGGACTCCAGCTCCAGCATGAAGCTTGGAGTCGCGCCAGATTCCAGCGAGATCACGGTCTGAGCTGAGATTCCTGGTCTGACCCAGCCATGTTGGTTCGGCTCGGCTGCATCTCGTGCTGATTGGGTACGCAGACGGCCTGAGCCTGCAGATCCTTTGAATGTGTCTAGACTTACTAGTACGAGGTCACCCCGAGATGATCTCAAGAGCAGGACTAAAAGAAGCTTGAGACATTCGGTAGTTGGGTTCAAGTTCGGGGCTTGATGTTCTGATAGTGAAGCTGCGTAGGTACGGCACGTATGACATTTCTGGCAGGGTGTGTGCAATTCGGAGGTCTGCTGTAGTATGCTGTAGTTCTGTGCTCGCTGCTGGTTGATAGTTGTGCCATGTTTTGCCACATGCTGCAGGGCCGTCCAAGTGACACGTTTAGTCTTCCAGCCCATTCAAGCGTGCCGCAAATTTTGTCATGGCGAAAGCCCTGAGCATCGCATGCCTGGGCGTGCTTGGCTTCGCCGGTGCCCACAAGCCGCGCACCGACGTGGAGAAGGCATTCGACAAGTTCTTGAAGGATTTCAGCAAGGACTACGACGAAGTGGAGAAGCAGGCTCGCTTCGGTGCCTTCGCGGACAACTTCGAGTACATCACACGTGAGAATGCCAAGGGCCATTCCTACCAGCTCGGTTTGAACGAGTTCTCGGATTTGTCGCTGGATGAGTTCAAGATGAACAAGCTCGGGCTGAAGCTTCCAGAGTCCGTGTGGGGAGAGCTGCCGAGCTTGGGCATGCACAAGGCAGGCAATTCCTCGCTGCCCAGCTCCGTCGACTGGCGCAGCAAGGCCGTGACGCCTGTGAAGAACCAGAAGCAGTGCGGCTCCTGGGCCGTTCTTGAGCACACTGCGTAGTTTGAGTTGAGTAACCTATATGTTCGAGCAGGGCGACACAAATGTGAGATCTGTCGAGCGCCTCCCTGAACACCCCAGGCTCATGTTGGGCATTCTCTACGACGGGTGCCTTGGAGGGTGCCTGGGCCATTGCCACGGGCAAGCTTGTCTCGCTGTCTGAGCAGCAGCCTGCAACTCAGCTTGGGCATGCACGTCCAGTTCAAGATGAAGCCATGTGAAACTCGTCGGAGCTTGCAGTGCCTCAGGCTGGTCGACTGCTCCAAGAAGTTCGGCAATGAGGGCTGCAGCGGAGGCCTCATGGATAACGGCTTCAAGTACGAGGAGCAGGCACCTGTGTGCACGGAGGACGGGCTCGCAGGGGTTCGCAGTTTTTGCTATCCTAAGTTCCATATTGGCGAGCGCGTGCGCGGGATTCTTGCTCGTTTCGTGAGGACAGCTACCCGTACTTGGCCAAGAATGGCATCTGCAAGGCCTCCGGCTGCAAGGTGGGAATTCCCGCGCACGGCGTCACCGGCTACAAGGACGTCAAGGCCGACGACGAGCAGTCTCTGATGGACGCTGTCTCGAAGCAGCCTGTGTCCGTGGCCATCGAGGCAAGACCGTGTCGGTGGCCTTCGATACTGCTGAGGGTTAGGCTAAATCGGTGGGTCCTTCACCGTGTTGTGCTTCCTTGTTTCTTGTGTTTCGAGTGTCCCTGGGACAACAGGCAGATCAGATGGCCTTCCAGCTCTACAAGGGCGGAGTGCTCAGCAAGACCTGCGGCACCAAGTTGGACCACGGCGTGTTGGTCGTGGGCTACGGAACCGAGGACGGCAAGGACTACTGGTTGGTGAAGCCTGCTGGCTGCAAGAGGAGTTTGGATCCACGGGTCGAGAGGTTTGTGATAGGCGCAAGCTAGAGAGAATTTTGGATCGGCTGTCGACGGTTGAGAAGTTGTCAGGAACAGCTGGGGATCTACGTGGGGTGAATCCGGGTATGTGAAGCTGGAGCGTGGCAAGCCGGGACCTGGTGAGTGCGGCATCAAGAGCCAGGCATCCTACCCCGTTGTGTCCGGCAAGGGCCCCTCTCCATCTCCATCTCCTCCCTCTCCTCCGTCTCCCCCATCTCCTCCGACTCCCAGCACCAGCCACTATGAGAAGCCGCCGTGCCAGAAGGACGAGACCCAGGCTGAGGTGGAGGGTGCCGGTGGCAGCGTGTGTGCCCCCAAGTGCAACACCGGCTCCTGCCCAACGGACGTCCCAGAGGGCACTACCGCCAAGCCCATGTGCATCCTTCAGGACGAGAGCAGCGGCGACAAGTACTGTGCCCTGGCCTGCATTGTGGGTGGCTGCCCCGATGGCTCCAAGTGCGTTCACCTGTCCAGCCTGCTGGGTGTCTGCATCTATCCGGACTCCAGCTCCAGCATGAAGCTTGGAGTCGCGCCAGATTCCAGCGAGATCACGGTCTGAGCTGAGATTCCTGGTCTGACCCAGCCATGTTGGTTCGGCTCGGCTGCATCTCGTGCTGATTGGGTACGCAGACGGCCTGAGCCTGCAGATCCTTTGAATGTGTCTAGACTTACTAGTACGAGGTCACCCCGAGATGATCTCAAGAGCAGGACTAAAAGAAGCTTGAGACATTCGGTAGTTGGGTTCAAGTTTGGGGCTTGATGTTTCGCATAGTTAAGCTGCGTAGGTACGGCACGTATGACATTTCTGGCAGGGTGCGTGCAATTCGGAGGTCTGCTGTAGTATGCTGTAGTTCTGTGCTCGCTGCTGGTTGATAGTTGTGCCATGTTTTGCCACATGCTGCAGGGCCGTCCAAGTGACACGTTTAGTCTTCCAGCCCATTCAAGCGTGCCGCAAATTTTGTCATGGCGAAAGCCCTGAGCATCGCATGCCTGGGCGTGCTTGGCTTCGCCGGTGCCCACAAGCCGCGCACCGACGTGGAGAAGGCATTCGACAAGTTCTTGAAGGATTTCAGCAAGGACTACGACGAAGTGGAGAAGCAGGCTCGCTTCGGTGCCTTCGCGGACAACTTCGAGTACATCACGCGTGAGAATGCCAAGGGCCATTCCTACCAGCTCGGTTTGAACGAGTTCTCGGATTTGTCGCTGGATGAATTCAAGATGAACAAGCTCGGGCTGAAGCTTCCAGAGTCCGTGTGGGGAGAGCTGCCGAGCTTGGGCATGCACAAGGCAGGCAATTCCTCGCTGCCCAGCTCCGTCGACTGGCGCAGCAAGGCCGTGACGCCTGTGAAGAACCAGAAGCAGTGCGGCTCCTGGGCCGTTCTTGAGCACACTGCGTAGTTTGAGTTGAGTAACCTATATGTTCGAGCAGGGCGACACAAATGTGAGATCTGTCGAGCGCCTCCCTGAACACCCCAGGCTCATGTTGGGCATTCTCTACGACGGGTGCCTTGGAGGGTGCCTGGGCCATTGCCACGGGCAAGCTTGTCTCGCTGTCTGAGCAGCAGCCTGCAACTCAGCTTGGGCATGCACGTCCAGTTCAAGATGAAGCCATGTGAAACTCGTCGGAGCTTGCAGTGCCTCAGGCTGGTCGACTGCTCCAAGAAGTTCGGCAATGAGGGCTGCAGCGGAGGCCTCATGGATAACGGCTTCAAGTACGAGGAGCAGGCACCTGTGTGCACGGAGGACGGGCTCGCAGGGGTTCGCAGTTTTTGCTATCCTAAGTTCCATATTGGCGAGCCCGCGCGGGATTCTTGCTCGTTTCGTGAGGACAGCTACCCGTACTTGGCCAAGAATGGCATCTGCAAGGCCTCCGGCTGCAAGGTGGGAATTCCCGCGCACGGCGTCACCGGCTACAAGGACGTCAAGGCCGACGACGAGCAGTCTCTGATGGACGCTGTCTCGAAGCAGCCTGTGTCCGTGGCCATCGAGGCAAGACCGTGTCGGTGGCCTTCGATACTGCTGAGGGTTAGGCTAAATCGGTGGGTCCTTCACCGTGTTGTGCTTCCTTGTTTCCTGTGTTTCGAGTGTCTCTGGGACAACAGGCAGATCAGATGGCCTTCCAGCTCTACAAGGGCGGAGTGCTCAGCAAGACCTGCGGCACCAAGTTGGACCACGGCGTGTTGGTCGTGGGCTACGGAACCGAGGACGGCAAGGACTACTGGTTGGTGAAGCCTGCTGGCTGCAAGAGGAGTTTGGATCCACGGGTCGAGAGGTTTGTGATAGGCGCAAGCTAGAGAGAATTTTGGATCGGCTGTCGACGGTTGAGAAGTTGTCAGGAACAGCTGGGGATCTACGTGGGGTGAATCCGGGTATGTGAAGCTGGAGCGTGGCAAGCCGGGACCTGGTGAGTGCGGCATCAAGAGCCAGGCATCCTACCCCGTTGTGTCCGGCAAGGGCCCCTCTCCATCTCCATCTCCTCCCTCTCCTCCGTCTCCCCCATCTCCTCCGACTCCCAGCACCAGCCACTATGAGAAGCCGCCGTGCCAGAAGGACGAGACCCAGGCTGAGGTGGAGGGTGCCGGTGGCAGCGTGTGTGCCCCCAAGTGCAACACCGGCTCCTGCCCAACGGACGTCCCAGAGGGCACCACCGCCAAGCCCATGTGCATCCTTCAGGACGAGAGCAGCGGCGACAAGTACTGTGCCCTGGCCTGCATTGTGGGTGGCTGCCCCGATGGCTCCAAGTGCGTTCACCTGTCCAGCCTGCTGGGTGTCTGCATCTATCCGGACTCCAGCTCCAGCATGAAGCTTGGAGTCGCGCCAGATTCCAGCGAGATCACGGTCTGAGCTGAGATTCCTGGTCTGACCCAGCCATGTTGGTTCGGCTCGGCTGCATCTCGTGCTGATTGGGTACGCAGACGGCCTGAGCCTGCAGATCCTTTGAATGTGTCTAGACTTACTAGTACGAGGTCACCCCGAGATGATCTCAAGAGCAGGACTAAAAGAAGCTTGAGACATTCGGTAGTTGGGTTCAAGTTTGGGGCTTGATGTTTCGCATAGTTAAGCTGCGTAGGTACGGCACGTATGACATTTCTGGCAGGGTGCGTGCAATTCGGAGGTCTGCTGTAGTATGCTGTAGTTCTGTGCTCGCTGCTGGTTGATAGTTGTGCCATGTTTTGCCACATGCTGCAGGGCCGTCCAAGTGACACGTTTAGTCTTCCAGCCCATTCAAGCGTGCCGCAAATTTTGTCATGGCGAAAGCCCTGAGCATCGCATGCCTGGGCGTGCTTGGCTTCGCCGGTGCCCACAAGCCGCGCACCGACGTGGAGAAGGCATTCGACAAGTTCTTGAAGGATTTCAGCAAGGACTACGACGAAGTGGAGAAGCAGGCTCGCTTCGGTGCCTTCGCGGACAACTTCGAGTACATCACGCGTGAGAATGCCAAGGGCCATTCCTACCAGCTCGGTTTGAACGAGTTCTCGGATTTGTCGCTGGATGAATTCAAGATGAACAAGCTCGGGCTGAAGCTTCCAGAGTCCGTGTGGGGAGAGCTGCCGAGCTTGGGCATGCACAAGGCAGGCAATTCCTCGCTGCCCAGCTCCGTCGACTGGCGCAGCAAGGCCGTGACGCCTGTGAAGAACCAGAAGCAGTGCGGCTCCTGGGCCGTTCTTGAGCACACTGCGTAGTTTGAGTTGAGTAACCTATATGTTCGAGCAGGGCGACACAAATGTGAGATCTGTCGAGCGCCTCCCTGAACACCCCAGGCTCATGTTGGGCATTCTCTACGACGGGTGCCTTGGAGGGTGCCTGGGCCATTGCCACGGGCAAGCTTGTCTCGCTGTCTGAGCAGCAGCCTGCAACTCAGCTTGGGCATGCACGTCCAGTTCAAGATGAAGCCATGTGAAACTCGTCGGAGCTTGCAGTGCCTCAGGCTGGTCGACTGCTCCAAGAAGTTCGGCAATGAGGGCTGCAGCGGAGGCCTCATGGATAACGGCTTCAAGTACGAGGAGCAGGCACCTGTGTGCACGGAGGACGGGCTTGCAGGGGTTCGCAGTTTTTGCTGTCCTAAGTTCCATATTGGCGAGCCCGCGCGGGATTCTTGCTCGTTTCGTGAGGACAGCTACCCGTACTTGGCCAAGAATGGCATCTGCAAGGCCTCCGGCTGCAAGGTGGGAATTCCCGCGCACGGCGTCACCGGCTACAAGGACGTCAAGGCCGACGACGAGCAGTCTCTGATGGACGCTGTCTCGAAGCAGCCTGTGTCCGTGGCCATCGAGGCAAGACCGTGTCGGTGGCCTTCGATACTGCTGAGGGTTAGGCTAAATCGGTGGGTCCTCCACGGTGTTGTGCTTCCTTGTTTCCTGTGTTTCGAGTGTCTCTGGGACAACAGGCAGATCAGATGGCCTTCCAGCTCTACAAGGGCGGAGTGCTCAGCAAGACCTGCGGCACCAAGTTGGACCACGGCGTGTTGGTCGTGGGCTACGGAACCGAGGACGGCAAGGACTACTGGTTGGTGAAGCCTGCTGGCTGCAAGAGGAGTTTGGATCCACGGGTCGAGAGGTTTGTGATAGGCGCAAGCTAGAGAGAATTTTGGATCGGCTGTCGACGGTTGAGAAGTTGTCAGGAACAGCTGGGGATCTTCGTGGGGTGAATCCGGGTATGTGAAGCTGGAGCGTGGCAAGCCGGGACCTGGTGAGTGCGGCATCAAGAGCCAGGCATCCTACCCCGTTGTGTCCGGCAAGGGCCCCTCTCCATCTCCATCTCCTCCCTCTCCTCCGTCTCCCCCATCTCCTCCGACTCCCAGCACCAGCCACTATGAGAAGCCGCCGTGCCAGAAGGACGAGACCCAGGCTGAGGTGGAGGGTGCCGGTGGCAGCGTGTGTGCCCCCAAGTGCAACACCGGCTCCTGCCCAACGGACGTCCCAGAGGGCACTACCGCCAAGCCCATGTGCATCCTTCAGGACGAGAGCAGCGGCGACAAGTACTGTGCCCTGGCCTGCATTGTGGGTGGCTGCCCCGATGGCTCCAAGTGCGTTCACCTGTCCAGCCTGCTGGGTGTCTGCATCTATCCGGACTCCAGCTCCAGCATGAAGCTTGGAGTCGCGCCAGATTCCAGCGAGATCACGGTCTGAGCTGAGATTCCTGGTCTGACCCAGCCATGTTGGTTCGGCTCGGCTGCATCTCGTGCTGATTGGGTACGCAGACGGCCTGAGCCTGCAGATCCTTTGAATGTGTCTAGACTTACTAGTACGAGGTCACCCCGAGATGATCTCAAGAGCAGGACTAAAAGAAGCTTGAGACATTCGGTAGTTGGGTTCAAGTTTGGGGCTTGATGTTTCGCATAGTTAAGCTGCGTAGGTACGGCACGTATGACATTTCTGGCAGGGTGCGTGCAATTCGGAGGTCTGCTGTAGTATGCTGTAGTTCTGTGCTCGCTGCTGGTTGATAGTTGTGCCATGTTTTGCCACATGCTGCAGGGCCGTCCAAGTGACACGTTTAGTCTTCCAGCCCATTCAAGCGTGCCGCAAATTTTGTCATGGCGAAAGCCCTGAGCATCGCATGCCTGGGCGTGCTTGGCTTCGCCGGTGCCCACAAGCCGCGCACCGACGTGGAGAAGGCATTCGACAAGTTCTTGAAGGATTTCAGCAAGGACTACGACGAAGTGGAGAAGCAGGCTCGCTTCGGTGCCTTCGCGGACAACTTCGAGTACATCACGCGTGAGAATGCCAAGGGCCATTCCTACCAGCTCGGTTTGAACGAGTTCTCGGATTTGTCGCTGGATGAATTCAAGATGAACAAGCTCGGGCTGAAGCTTCCAGAGTCCGTGTGGGGAGAGCTGCCGAGCTTGGGCATGCACAAGGCAGGCAATTCCTCGCTGCCCAGCTCCGTCGACTGGCGCAGCAAGGCCGTGACGCCTGTGAAGAACCAGAAGCAGTGCGGCTCCTGGGCCGTTCTTGAGCACACTGCGTAGTTTGAGTTGAGTAACCTATATGTTCGAGCAGGGCGACACAAATGTGAGATCTGTCGAGCGCCTCCCTGAACACCCCAGGCTCATGTTGGGCATTCTCTACGACGGGTGCCTTGGAGGGTGCCTGGGCCATTGCCACGGGCAAGCTTGTCTCGCTGTCTGAGCAGCAGCCTGCAACTCAGCTTGGGCATGCACGTCCAGTTCAAGATGAAGCCATGTGAAACTCGTTGGAGCTTGCAGTGTCTCAGGCTGGTCGACTGCTCCAAGAAGTTCGGCAATGAGGGCTGCAGCGGAGGCCTCATGGATAACGGCTTCAAGTACGAGGAGCAGGCACCTGTGTGCACGGAGGACGGGCTCGCAGGGGTTCGCAGTTTTTGCTATCCTAAGTTCCATATTGGCGAGCGCGCGCGCGGGATTCTTGCTCGTTTCGTGAGGACAGCTACCCGTACTTGGCCAAGAATGGCATCTGCAAGGCCTCCGGCTGCAAGGTGGGAATTCCCGCTCACGGCGTCACCGGCTACAAGGACGTCAAGGCCGACGACGAGCAGTCTCTGATGGACGCTGTCTCGAAGCAGCCTGTGTCCGTGGCCATCGAGGCAAGACCGTGTCGGTGGCCTTCGATCCTGCTGAGGGTTAGGCTAAATCGGTGGGTCCTTCACCGTGTTGTGCTTCCTTGTTTCTTGTGTTTCGAGTGTCTCTGGGAGAACAGGCAGATCAGATGGCCTTCCAGCTCTACAAGGGCGGAGTGCTCAGCAAGACCTGCGGCACCAAGTTGGACCACGGCGTGTTGGTCGTGGGCTACGGAACCGAGGACGGCAAGGACTACTGGTTGGTGAAGCCTGCTGGCTGCAAGAGGAGTTTGGATCCACGGGTCGAGAGGTTTGTGATAGGCGCAAGCTAGAGAGAATTTTGGATCGGCTGTCGACGGTTGAGAAGTTGTCAGGAACAGCTGGGGATCTACGTGGGGTGAATCCGGGTATGTGAAGCTGGAGCGTGGCAAGCCGGGACCTGGTGAGTGCGGCATCAAGAGCCAGGCATCCTACCCCGTTGTGTCCGGCAAGGGCCCCTCTCCCTCTCCATCTCCTCCCTCTCCTCCGTCTCCCCCATCTCCTCCGACTCCCAGCACCAGCCACTATGAGAAGCCGCCGTGCCAGAAGGACGAGACCCAGGCTGAGGTGGAGGGTGCCGGTGGCAGCGTGTGTGCCCCCAAGTGCAACACCGGCTCCTGCCCAACGGACGTCCCAGAGGGCACCACCGCCAAGCCCATGTGCATTCTTCAAGACGAGAGCAGCGGCGACAAGTACTGTGCCCTGGCCTGCATTGTGGGCGGCTGCCCCGATGGCTCCAAGTGCGTTCACCTGTCCAGCCTGCTGGGTGTCTGCATCTATCCGGACTCCAGCTCCAGCATGAAGCTTGGAGTCGCGCCAGATTCCAGCGAGATCACGGTCTGAGCTGAGTTTGACCCAGCCATCGGTCACTGTACAGATGCGCAGCTGAGCAGGCGGAGTTTTCGTGCTGATTGAGCACATTGCTCATAGTTTGCTCAGCCGGACTTGTCGCGACAATGGATGCGTGTCGAGAATAGTAACTCGTCCGTAGACAGGTTCGCATTAGTCAGCGATTCCGAAGGAAAAGTGCCCGCGTCGCAAGCAAAGCGCAGCAGGTCACGAAGTGATCAGATGGTCTTGTCTCAGTAGAGCAAAGCGCCTGTGACGAACGAGTCATCCGCACATCTGCGACACTGCTCCAAACCTCAGCTCCATTACAAAGAGCATTGAAAAGGACCGAAGCGCTTATACGTCCAGGTCTGCAGCTTACCGCAGCTTCCGACACGCGCTGGTGCCTGGCGAGAGTGTGCAGCTGAGCATTGCAGGTTCGCACCTTTCGTCACCTCGTGGCTGCAAGTCAACCTTCAACCTTCCCTGCCTGCACCGAGCTGCATCTAGGTGCAAACAGCACTGCACTCATACGCTGAGTGAGTGGAAGTCAATTGGCAACAGCTCGTTTGTTGCCCGAGCCTGCGTCTAGCATCAATTCCCGAAGTTAAGAACATACGGAGGATAATCTCAAGCCCAGCACTGCCCCAAATCTGCCCTGTTGATTTCGCATCGTTTCACCCTCTCTAAGGAGGGGTCGCAAGCTTTTGCACCCACACGTCTCACCTGAGTGATGTCTAAAGGCATTCTGCCCGACGAGCTCTGGCCCGCAGCCCGAATCGGACCACCAGTCGCACCCGGGTAGATGCAAGCTGGCGGCCAGAAAATCGTACTGACAGTTGCGAGGATTGAAAAAGCAGCCGTGCCTCGGAATGCTAGAGCCATCAATCAAGTGCCTTATCGAACTTTAAGCGATTGTAGCAGGGTGTAGAAAGCACTGGCTGAAGCATCCGTAAGTCAGCTGTGCTTGTTTTTCATCTGCCCCGCAGGCCCTCCATGCCACAGACCTGAGCAACGCTGGGCGGGTGCAGAGCCATGCCAAGCTGACGCAGCCCAAGGACTCGCAAACCCCACGAACGAGATCTTTTGAGCTTTGCGATGCGCGATGCTTTGACGTCTTCAGACCTCAGGCAGAGATTTACTCCTCCGGCTCCGTCGTTTTAAACGCCTCTTTTGGAGGAGTTCCGGCTCTCCTGTCCACCGACTCCCAGGTCTCCGGGCTCGCCGCTGCCGCGCTTCTGAGCAGAGTCTGAGCGAGGATGAGAGAGAAATCGCTCCCGCTCTGACTTGGGTCAACTTCTGGTGCTCAGGCCGAGCTGTGCGGAGCTGGATGCAAGCGAGGTGGACTCCATCCAGGCCTGGCTTCGTGGTTTCGCGGAGCACGTTGCTTCGGGTTGAAGAGCGGCGCCGGCGGAGGATTTGCAGCATTTCGAACGAGATTGCTGCGCCTCTTGTTCACGTATTTTGTCGCAGCCATTTGCATGCCCAAGAAATCAAGAACCGGATAGACACCTGACCTCCTACAAGGACCAGGGGACCAGGTTCAAAGCAACGGATTGTCGGCGCTGCTCGCGCATGGTTCTCCGCTTCTCTGGTGAGGGATCGTTTGAGGTTTTGTCCGGCTTGTCCCCACTGCGGCTTCCTTGCGTCGCAGGACTCAGGGCGACGATGCTCGCCAAGGCATCCCAGCCGAGCGGGAGCGGTGTGGGCGCAGAATTTTGAGAGCGAATGCTCAGGGGGGTCCCAATGCCGACTTCGCCTCTGTGCTCGACAGCGCTGTGGTGCACTCAGAGGCTACGAAGGCGGGAGACACGGGGGGCCCGTCCTGCGGCCTAACTCTAACAGGTTGTGTGATGCAGGACCTTTCGATACGATTCCTCACATACCTCAGAACCCCTGGATCGAAGTCTTGCCACGCCCCACATCCCACATCTGACATCTCTGCACTGCACTTGCAGCACAGGATGAAGACGGCAAGAACGCGACTCCAGATCAAGATCCGTGCATGAAAGATGTAGCCACTTGGATGGCAGTCCGGGTGCAGGCTCAAGCAAGGATGCAAGCTCATATTAATTTTGAGAAACAAAGTGAATCTGTGTGTAAGCTTGTTCCTTACAATTTTGCATTTCCCTGATTGAGCCCTTTCAACATTGCGGAAACAGGATTCAAGTTGACGGACATAAGACGAAGCTCTAATTTCAGCTTGGTGCCAAGCCACAGAGCACGAACTCAGGTACAACTAGGTTTCGCTTTTTGGCATTGGGGGTTTGACACTTCAGGCCCCGAAGTCGAGAGTCTAATCCGCAGATCGAGCATTCAGACTCGCAGCGCTTGTGACGACCAGGACGGCGTGAAGCCAGAGATGGTTGGTGCAGAGGAGGCCTTGTGTTTTTGGGCGTCCTCAAGACGGTACGCCAAGTTCTTGGTAACTGGCAGTGAACCCGGTTTCTTTGCGGTGGCCGAAGGGGTTGGGCTTAAGTGTTTTCTGCTTCTACAGGGATTATGTCGGAGCGTTTATCACACTCGTTTAACAGTGACTTTCCGCGAGCCTCTGGCGGATCCCACGCGTCGAGACACCAAACTATCCAAAATCCTTTGGGCTGTTTCCCAACCCAACATGCAGGATTGACTTTACTTGTGGCCTGAACAAGCTGTCCTTGTGTGCCTTTGTTGGCTGCCCGTTGCAGGCACCCAACAACGGTGCCCTTGCGAGCGGGGAGCAGGCCGGCACGGGCTGGCCATTGATGCAACTGCAGACTCTCTGTGAAAGCAGGTGGACATCTATGAGTTTCGCAACATCGGCTTCCTGCTCCAGCACCACGGACTGGGAGTCGGCTAGGTACCAGGCGGGCCAGGGTAGTCGCGGCATTGCTATCACCCCAGGTATTTTGCTGTTGGTATCATCTACGGCGGCTTACCAGCTACAATCTATGGCTTCTTCCTGGGAAGCTTGGCTGCTTCATCTGCTTCTGGCTTCCTCCTGCCCGAGCTTGGGAGCGCGGATTGCAAAGCTTCAGGCTTTCTCAACGTGCCGGGCTATGTCTATGCCACGGCAGCGGCTGGGCCCTTGGGAGTCAGGAACCGGGGAGCCATGGGGGTCTCGAGCTTCGGAGCAGCCTCGGTGCAGCCCTCAAGGTGGTCACCACCATGCCTTGGAGCTTCAAGCTTTTTTTCGGTCCTCGGCTTACACTTGAAAGCTTCAACCTGAAGTGCATGCGCGCAGCTGCGACCGACTATGCGGCTATTCACCAAACAAGCCTGATTCACCGACCGAGGCTTCCTAAACGACTGTTTCCCGCGCCATGGCGTTGACTTGAGAGTGTGTTGAAGGGAGTTAAATTGCTCTTTGCCAGCCAATGGCTCAGGATCCTGGGGTACCGAAGGAAGCCGTACATGGTCATTGGCTCCTTGCCTGAGATCGACGTCAGGGTTGCCCTTTGGATACCCCTTTGTGGTTGAGACCTGGTAACCGCTCGGCCATGTGGGTTTCGGTCAAAGTCGCGGACTGTCAACTATGGGATTTGTCCCCATCTCAACATCGCTTCCGAGGTTGGACCCTCTGCTTCCTGACGCTGCTGGCAGGAGTCTGAGCTGGAGGGACACGCATTGTGGCAACATTCGCCACGGGCATGCAGTTGTAGTGCGTTGCCCAATTTGTCCCAAACTCAAGTCGAGTCACGGTCAGAAACCAGCTCGGCAGAGGCTTATGGACCCCGGCCCAGGTCCTTGGCACAAAGCCACTTCCCAAGCCGTACTTCTGCATGGCACCAGATGGCAATTTCGACAAGGACTCCGGCAATAGGCTCCGGGTCGAGGTGAACTGAGCTGATGATGTGATACGTGATAGCTCGCAGCAAGCACTCCCTTATGATACTTGTGATCATGATGATGTCTCTGGTGGTGGTGGTGGTGGTGGTGGTGGTGGTGGTGGGGGTGGTGGAAAGTAGTCGTAGTAGCAGCTGCAGGGGCAGCGGGCAGGGGCAGCTTGAAGGGGCAGTTGCAGGAGCAGTAGGAGCAGGACTTCGAGTAGTAGCAGTAGTAGCAGCAGTAGTAGCAGTAGTATCAGGAGCAGCAGCAGCAGGAGTAGTAGGAGTAGTAGGAGTAGTAGGAGTAGTAGGAGTAGTAGGAGTAGTAGTAGTAGTAGTAGTAGTAGTAGTAGTAGTAGCAGTAGCAGTAGTAGTGGTAGTGGTAGTGGTAGTGGTAGTCGTAGTCGTAGTAGTAGTAGTAGTAGTAGTAGCAGTAGCAGTAGCAGTAGTAGTGGTAGTGGTAGTGGTAGTGGTAGTCGTAGTCGTAGTAGTAGTAGTAGTAGTAGTAGGAGTAGTAGCAGTAGCAGTAGTAGTGGTAGTGGTAGTGGTAGTGGTAGTGGTAGTCGTAGTCGTAGTGGTAGTAGTAGTAGTAGTAGTAGTAGTAGTAGTAGTAGTAGTAGTAGTAGTAGGAGTAGTGAGTAGGAGTTGGAGTAGGGGTAGGAGGAGGAGGAGTAGGAGTGGGAGCAGGAGTAGGAGTGGCTGGAGCAGGAGCAGGAGCAGGAGTAGTGGCAGTGTTCGTAGTAGTAGTAGTAGTAGTAGTAGTAGTAGTAGCAGTAGCAGTAGCAGTAGCAGTAGTAGTAGTAGTAGTAGTAGTAGTAGTAGTAGTAGTAGTAGTAGTAGGAGTAGGAGTAGTGAGTAGGAGTTGGAGTAGGGGTAGGAGGAGGAGGAGGCGGAGGAGGAGTAGGAGTGGGAGCAGGAGTAGGAGTGGCGGGAGCAGGAGCAGGAGTAGTGGCAGTGTTCGTAGTAGTAGTAGTAGTAGTAGTAGTAGTAGTAGTAGTAGTAGTAGTAGTAGTAGTAGTAGTTCCAAGCCGCATTCATTGCTGACCCAAGAAGTAATCTCCTGTGGAAAGCCGATCCGCGAAACCGAATTTGCGACATTAATGTGTGCCTCCAAGATGGCGGCATCGACTAGCAGACTGGCCTGCGCAGGATCAGATCTGCAATGAAGAGGCAAGCTTGGATAGCCTCAGGGGCATTCAGACATTTAGAGAGGTCACGGACGGAGCACAGCCGCGTGGCAAGTACTTGACGCGGAAGCCCAACGTGATGAAACTAAGCGCGGGCAAGTGGTCCATGTTTTAGCCGAGTTGTCAGCGTGAGCCGGAGGCGCGATGGGCCGGCGGTGAATTCGCCTGCCTCATGTGCTCCTTCCCAGTGGTGAGGGTCTGCAGATGTCTGGAGTACATATTATCTTATCCCTGCATCACTGCTGCGCAAGTTACGGGTCTCCCATCACAGCTCAGATTTCTATTCCGGCATTGCAACTGCAGAGTGCGGTACCTGTGCGCCCAACAACATGTGATTCAATGGCGTCGCACTCGATACTTGCGGCTTGCTTAATCTCTGTTCAAGAAACCATGTTCAGGTTATGCTGACAGGATCTCACAGGCTTTCATCTCTCCGTTCTTAGTGTGGGTTCTTGTATGGTGCTGCCGCACTTCTTGAACGTGGTTGCGTCGTGCCAACGCCTGAGGTGCCTGGCGGCCCTGGGCTACGTGCTTTGGCAGCAAGGCAAAAGGTTGACGGTAGTAGGTAGTTCACTCAAATTTCGACTGCCCTGTGGGCTCGAGGGCTTTCAGGGTTGGAGCTTGGATGTTGTTGGCGGTAGTTGAGCCTTGCATATGCAGCTTCATGTTGTCGAAGTTGCTTCTGAAGCCGATGGTAGAAGCCTTCCAGCTCATCTGCGCAGTATTTGTATGTGCTCGCCCGCTGAAAGCCGTGGTTCAAGCCCCAAAGGAGGGTTTGCAGAATTTTGCAGCCGAGCAAAGCATCATCAAATCACAGGCACAGTTCAGATGAGCAAACAGTCGGTCTTGCACCGAGGTGTGCAGCCACCTCATACCTCATGCCTCTTCTTTTTCCCAGGCCTTTGCGTTAAGTAGGTAGTTTAGAGCTGGCTTCTCGGGGGATGACGCATGTAAAGCCTGCAGAGTCTTGGCAGACGCGACAGGAGGGGTTAAGGCTCAGAAAGGCAGGCATTCGGAATGTTGCAGGTCAAAAGGGAGCTTCTTGATGCCGCCACCCACGCAGTGCAGTGCAGTGCTCACTCAGTCAGGCGTGTGTCTGTGCCAGTGGGCGCTTAAGGAATGGGCCATGCAAAGGCCGTCCGAACTCGAGGCTCTAAGCTGGCAGCTTGTGTGCTTCCAGCCGAGGAGGTGACAGCGCCCCCCTTTTCGAGCTTCCCGGACTACTCGAAAATCAATGAGGAGTGACTCGGCGGCCCAAGGCAGATTCGCAAGCGAGAAGACACGCCGCGACATGCCCGGACCCCGGGCTGAGGTCCTTTAATGGTGTCCGCGAGGACTGGCAGGGCTGCAAGCAAGAAAGCTCTTGAAAAAATAGAATCCACTCGCGGTATCACTCACCGACTTGCAATGCTTAAACTGTTAGCCTCACCTAAACAGATGAGAACTCTACCCATGACGCACTGTGCAGATCTCTGAAAGAAAGGCCACAGGTTTATGTCACTCTGTGCGGGCTGAGCCGGAGCAATCTTGGATCTGCAGGACACCTTCTCCACGCCGCGGCCGAAGAGCGGCCGTGCGGCGCGGGCCTCACCAGGCTCGATGGGATCAGAAAAGGGCGTAGACGTAGTAGTTCTGGGTATTCGTATGAGATATTATTGATGCAGGCGTATGAGGGTTGAAGAGGATTTAGGGAGAGTTTTGGGGGTTGGGGTTCAGGATGGTTCAGGCCGGCGTCGGCTGGGGGTTTTGGGGACTTTGAGGTCCATAGAAGGGTTTAAGGTCTGATGAGGGCTTCAGAGGGTTTAGGAGGGTCCGAAAGGACCCCCGAAATTGCCAAGCCTACTTTTATTTTGAGGATAGTTCTTTTCATCCGTCACTCACCGATCCACTAAGACAGCAAGAAACACAATTAACCAGTAGCAGCAGCAGCAGATAGGAATACCATGACAAAAACACATTCGTCCGAATACCGATAACCGTCAAGAGGATGCCGAAAACACACACGAGTCATGTAGTGTCGTTAGCACCGACCCGCGCCCATGAAGGGAGGTCCCCCAGTCCGATCCGGTGCCCAAGTAGCAAGAGCAAAACAAAGCAGCGAGTAGAAAGGGGCGCCTGGCTTCTCCATGCCAGGCGGAGAGAAGCGTTGGGGGGTCGTCGATAACATGTCGATCAAGGACTGCGCCGATCGGGCAATTGGCACTCGTGCCAGTGCGTGTCGGAAGCGTGACCTTGGAGATTTCTAGTCTGAACTTGCTGGTGCACGGAGACCTTTTTGATGCCACCAAATTGACAAGATAAGTTAGAATTGACTCTTGCACGTAGGGGAGCCAGACACTCAAAATTCCGAGATCCATCTTACAGGCATGCTCAACCTGGGTCGTGAAGGGTCGATCTTGCGCGGGTGGCTATTGTTGCCACTGTTTCGAAGTTGCTGCGCTGCGATCCCGAATCGCTTGTTTGCTTGAACTGTTTCTGGAGGACCTTCTGTGGGTATGCGATCAAGCCTTCACCAAGAATGCTCGGAACCTCTGTGCCTGGACAAGGAGGTTTGTGTAAGGAAAGGTTGCAGGGGGCATCTTCAGCCTTGGACCCCAGCAGGTAACTTCGTTGCATCTTGCCCACTTCCGAGGTCAGTAGCCCAAAAAGCCAACAGATTAAGCGTGTGCAAAGCGTGGGTTGAGTTGCGTTGAGTGGTCTCCTCCACACTGGCTCCAGAGAATCCTCATTTTTTTGCAGCATGCTGAGGTGCCGAGCTCTGCAGCAGCGTGCGGAAAGAATTCGAGCTGGAGCGGGCTCAGATCAGGTCCCTCGCGGGATTGCTTGCGTCACGGGAGTGGCAGAACTAAAGTCGTGTCCTGCCATCTCCATGCTGGGAAAGCGGCCGCAGCGCAGGCACGATGTGGTGCAACCTGTGGCTGCGCTGACCGCGGCCTTGGATCGGCTTCCTTCAAGGCCTAGATAGCTGGAGTTAGAAATGTGAGACGAAAAAAAAACAGCAAAGCAGTGACTAAACCACCGTCGATTGGGAAGGCTGGATGATCCTTTGAAGCGCATTGTCAAATCGGAGGTCCTTCCTTACCTTGAGCCGCGAGACCTGCCATTTCTGAGGGGGGAAGCTTCAGGAGATTTTCAGGGGATCTTTCCGCGATGCCTGGCGTCTGAGTTCGCGAAGGGAGCGTAGCAGCTTTGTTCGCATTCGTCTCCCGTAGGTTCATGGACATCATGGACCTAGTGTGCGCTGCATGTCTCGCCGAGGTCCTATGCTGCCACAGCGAACCGCCTGGAGGGTGACCTCTCGGCCGGGATGCATGGTTTGCGTACTTCCGTGCTCAGGGGCTTGGGCTCTTGCTTCGGTCAGGAAAGCAATCTGCAAATTAGGACGTATGCTTGAGTTAGCTTCCCAGACCGCAAGTCACGAATCCTTTTGTGGCTGGAACTGCAAAAGCATCTCCTGCTCCCAGTCCCGGTTCACGTCCGTCGAGTCCAAGCTGGAGGAAGTGGAGAATCAACAGAGGCACGCAATGCCCCTTGATCCTAGTTCCATGATCGTCGCGTAGGCTGGAGGCGCTTGAGCAGATCGTTTTGGGGCTCGGTTGGGGCAGCCATGTCGAGCCAGGCGAGCTAGCAAGACCAACGAGAAGATGATCGCTGATGGTTCGGCTCACACGCAGGAGTCTGCTTCCCGCAGCTGGTACGCCGGTGTGCAGCCATGCGTTGTGCACGTGTTGAAGTAGGGTCGTTTGGCTGAGCACACTTGCGCCAGCCAGAAGAGAGCAGGCAACCATTTGCAAGCGCACGGGTGCTTCATGACGATATGAGCGGTAGAGAAGAGATTTTGGACGAGACACTTGGTTGTCATTGAGAGGACATCCTGACGCAGCTGCGCAGCGTTCACTCTCAAGTCATGGATGGACGCCTGCATGAAGCCAGTGATGTGACTTAGACCTGGGACATGAGGGCTAAAGCTAAAGATCCGTCGACACAGAGGATACAGGCGCTTTTGCTCTCCAGTTGTTTGCGTAAGGATCCACATACCTGCCCCAAGCACGTCGTTCCACGAACCTTCGGAGAAAGACTTCTAGTAACAAGCGCGTCAGACTTGCCAATGTGATCAATGCGCTAGACGTCTGGAGTTCAAAGTCCACCAAGGTGCCAGCAGCACGAGCAGTGACCTCCAGCAGGTCTTGCAGGCTCCGCCCCCCCCGGAGTGCTGGAGCAGAAGAGACCAGACATGACCAGACCCAAACCGCCCCTTCAGAGCGCAGGCCGGCCACGACCTGCAGGGCGTGCTGGAGCAGAAGGCACTCCTGGGGTATTTATCGCTTCTGCCATGTTCACAGAAAGTTTAAAGACTCTTGAGACGGGGCAGGTGGATGCCCTGCTCTGGAAGCACACGAAGCAGCAGCCCGTTCTGGTTGATTTCAGTCCTCGGACCGCATTGGCAAAGCAGGTTTGCAGTTTTGAGGCCCGCAGCCAGCAGACTCTGCAGCCGCTTGCAGCGGAAGTCGTTGGTGTGAGCAGTCGCCGTTCTCAGCCCCAGGTCTTTTGGAGCTGTCTCGGCCACAAGCCGAAGAGGACGGTCCGTAGATCATCAAGCTCGGGGGGTTCGTGATGCCAAGGCGTGGTGAAAGTTGCTCTGAGAAATCGCTCATCGACCTGCAGAAGAGAAGACCCTCGACCCTTATACTCTTCATGCACAGCTCCAACCCTAAAGTCGGCTGCTGCCTCCGTGAACACTAGAGCCCAGCCTTTTGCGCAGAAGCGCCGCATGTGAGATAGCTTGTGATTTTATCTGGAATTTCTTCTGGCTTATTTCGGGTTGTGGAGTTTCTATCGCCGTCTGAGTGCTGCGAGAGGAGTCGGAGATTCTCAGAGTCACGTCGGAGCTTGCTTCGAAGGCAGGCGCGGGTTGTGCACCACGCTTACATGCTCCAAAGTGAGTGAGATTCCAACTCGGTCGTCTAAGAATACACCACCGCGACTGCTGCTGCTACGTACTACTACTGCTACTACAACAACAACTACTACTACTACTACTACTACTACTGATACTACTGCTGCTGCTGCGACTGCCACTACTAAAGTTACTACTGACACTACGACCACCACTACTACCGCTGCGACTACCACCAGTTCCAGTACTACTACTACTACTACTACTACTACTACTACTACTACTACTACTGCTACTGCTACTGCTACTGCTACTGCTACTGCTACTACTACTACTACTACTACTACTACTGCCACTGCTCCACTGCTCCACCGCTCTACCGCTCAACCGCTCCAGTGCTCTGCTGCTCTACTGCTACCCCTGCTACGGCTGCTGTTTCCTTCGCCAGCCTTTCGCCAGCCTCTGCATCCTGAACCGCAGAGGTCGACGACCGATTTGCACACCTTACCTCGAAGCTTGAGGCCAGGTGCGCCTTTTCTGTCTGGATGATCCTTTTTGCGGTTCATTTTTTGGCTACATACCATACCTATATCATAATGTCAATGAGTTCTTAGAGGGTAACGTGCCATGA